GAGTGGCTAGATCTCGTCTATGGACTAGGAACTATGCACGAAGTAATAGCCACCCCGTATAGGTATGGCCATATACAATATATATTACTCTTGCAAACTTGGGAGGTCTCTTTATTGGCAAAACTACCCAATCGGAACTCTATAGCGCCCAATTTCATCTCAGCCCGAGGCAATAATATACAATTTATCAGCCACATTGCCTAACTTCCCGATTGGCTGTGAAGGAATGTCCCGGGAGCCTCACAGCCAGAAGAACATTCTTAGGATTGATTGAAATTGCAAAAGTACTAAGGAAGGATAGTATGATTCTCTAATTCTTCCATTAGGCTTAAGTACATTTTAGTGTAGATGTGCTATGAGATCAGCGCAAGAGACGATCTTGCAATATATTAGTTACCCTTCATAGTGTGGATACACTAGAATATGGTGGTGGCGAAAGCTCAGCTGAAGTGATATCCAATCTCAAATATCTGCTAGTACAAACACGGGAGTATATAGGGAAAACCTAGCCGACGGATGCGTACGGAGGCATGGCCTTATAGCGTGGTCGATCAGCTCAGCCTAGTTGAGCTGTCATGTATGGGATCCACTGGGGCTTGAAGGTGGACAGGTCAAGGAACAAATGAACAATGACAATGTGTTTCATGTTCCGAGGTATTCTATTCGGCAGGGAATACTGAGTACTCCAGCATATAGGTATATGTAGTCAAAGTAGTCTAGAATGGTAGGAAATGCCTCGACACGCGTTCTACCGGACAAGGCTTTTGAATTTTCCCGGTGGGGGTATGAGGTATGTGATTATGGACTGACTATGTATGGATTAATAAGAGTGGTATAGTTACAAATACATAAATAACTTAAATAACATACAGAGTACAATATAAATTGTCACTGCAAATGCAAAAACCAAATGAAAAAAACCAAAAAGCGAAATTAATAATTAAAAAACCAAAAAAACCACCTGATCCGTGGATGATGACATTGCCTCGAACCTTGGAACCATGGAAGAGCATAACCGTCCAGACCCTATTAAACCCTTCCGTCTGACCCGGAAATCTTTTTTATAACTTCCTTTTGCCTCGTCAGTCGCTATAATCTCGCTTTTCACATTTTCGACAAACCTTCTATACATTTGCGAACATTCCTCCCCGCATTCCTGGCTTGCAACCGATCTCGCATTCTTCGATCTAGCTGGAAACATTCCGGATAAGAATATATCGGGATTCATGCTGTTCGCGGCGCAAGTCGTGTTTCAGATATTGCGAGTATAGATCTCGCCTTGATCAGCCTCTCGCGGCGCGGAGCGCATAACCTTTGCTACTTCTTCAGTTCCCCATAACGTCACGGCCTCTTCTGTCTGGCAGCAATTCGTTATGTCTTCTCAAAATAAGTGGGAGAAGACGTTGAGCATCTCGAAAAAGGGCTTTGACAAAGCATGGGACACCGTCGACAAGCTGGGCGGCCCCGTCAACCGCCTGTCACATAAGCTGGGCGCCGAAGCCTTCTGGCCTATGACAATCGATAAGGAAGCCGACAAAGCCGCGCGCATCCTACGCAGTTTCTGTAAAGATGGATTCTACGCCCCCGATTCCTCAAGCGGCACCGATGAGAATGGAAAGATCAATCGCCCCAAGGGTAGACAGCGCGTTATTCAGAAGATCCCATCAAAAGTCCTCAAAAATGCCAAGGGAGTTGCCATTTTCACGACTATGCGCACAGGTCTGTGGATGAGTGGCTCTGGTGGTAGTGGCGTGCTGATTGGTCGCATCCCCGAGACCGGCGAGTGGAGCCCTCCATCTGGTATCATGTTACACACGGCCGGGATAGGCTTCCTCGCTGGTGTTGACATTTACGACTGCGTGGTCATCATCAACAGCTATGACGCGCTCAACGCATTTAAGAAATTCCGATGCACCCTCGGTGGCGAGATTAGCGCTGCTGCGGGCCCCGTCGGTGTGGGTGGTGTCCTCGAATCCGAGGTGCACAAACGCCAGGCACCAATTTGGACATATATGAAGAGCAAGGGGCTGTACGCAGGTGTCGCGGTCGATGGCACGATCATCATTGAGCGAACAGACGAGAACGAGCGCTTCTACGGCGAGCGGATATCCGTCGACGAAATTCTCTCCGGCAAAATCCGACATCCACCTTACGAGCTCGCTACCCTCATGCAAACATTGAAGGCCGCACAGGGCGACACCGACGTCGACGGGAGTCTCATCCCGCCACCGGGCGAAACACCTGGCGATATGGAGTTGACGGAAGACGGACAACAAATATTCGGCGTGCCGGCTGTGGACGACCCCGATCCTTATGGAGTGAAGGCGCTGGAGGCGGAGGGGCTTTTCATCCGCGAGGCTGGCACAAAAGCGAGGCCCAGCCACGAGACATTTGAATTTCGGCCTAACCTAGACAGTCCTATTTATAGCACTTTCTCGCGGCGCAGTATGGATAGCTCGCCGCGTAATAGCTGGCGCGCCAGTGTGCAGAGCGCCAAGAGCTATGCTAGTGTCAACCGTGGCACGCAAACGATTGAGGACCCACTGATCGAGCCCACGTCTGTGAGCCGTGCGTCTTCCCGCAGGTCGAAGGGATCGTCTATTGGCCGTCAACCGATGAATACCTGGGACGAAAATGAGCCTCACTGGGATACGATTGCTATCCATGGCAATGAAGAGCACGTGAAGGTCCGCCAACTGGAGGGCGAGGAAGCGGAGGATAGGAAAGCGAAAACGGATGCCTGCCCAGATGCACACGATGACCCCGCGTTCGAGGATGAAGACGAGCACTTTGAGATCCACGAGCTTGGCAATGTCAAGGTCACACCAATGGAGATTGTCCCAGCCTCGCCGTCGAAGGTCGAAGACCAGACGACAGGCAAGCCTACATCGCCGAGCTTCACCCGGGCTCGTCTGGTCACAATCCCGGCACGCACCCCACCTCCCTTGCCTCCGCGACACCCCGGCCACGTCCGGGGCTCTGGCTCAAGCCGTGCCTCAATGTCGCCAACGGCGCTCTCATATTCTAGCCGTAACACCTCACCTACAGACGCCACCGAGGTGGTGGAGAATACCGAACATTTGGATGAAACTCCCCACGCCATTCCATTCCCCGAGACCAAGACCTCTCCCCATGTTACTCTTGCGAGCGATGACGAGGAGATTGTCGAGAAGGACGAATTCCACTCTGTCGACGGCGAGTCGGAGGATGAGGACAACGTCATTCTCCTCGAAGACCAGATTGCCACCCAGGCCGCCGAGCAGGAGAGCAAGATGGACAAGGAAGACGAGAAGACAAATTCTCTCGATGTCCCCAAGCTTGGACCTAGCATCAAGTATACCCCCGAGGTTGAAGAGACCCTCGACGAGATCGAAGCCAAGCTTGAAGCCGAGATCAATCACATCCCTGCTGTCCGCGAAGAACATGCAGAGTCCCCTGCTTTGACTGAACTCGATACCACCTTGCCCCATGCCCGGGCTGAGTGATCTTGGATTCTGAGTAACTGTTTTCTACTTCCTCTTTTGCGATTCCCTCGGCATTCTCGTTTGCGTATTTTTCTCGACACACACCTTGGCACGATACCTCTTACGCATTCTATACACATCTAACTCATTTGGGAGTTCTTGGTCATCCAGGCTCCACTTTCATACCTCTTCCATCCTCATCTCATCTCCAAAAAAAGGCTTCTCTTTGTTGGTTTCCTGCCATTGGCTTTAGCGTGTCTGCATTTTAGCGAGTGAGGGGTATTTGTTTTTGTTCCTGGGTCAGGCCGATGGTGAAGGGGTTCTTTGGGCTCCTTGCCCTTTACTTTATTTGAGAGCTTTCGCTCGAGTTGCATTATATCCTGTTTCCCGGACTTGGAATACGCTCTTTTATATATTGGTACTTGGCTAAGCTTGACTTTGGTCGGTTGAATTATATAACATCAGTAACTATCCAGCGCAGGTCTATTAAATGTACAGTAGCATGTCTCATCTCAAGTGGAAATCATCCTTCGAATCTATTATCCTTTTCCATGAGAGAGTAGATGGATTTACCCACGTATAACTTCTAGAAAAGCATAGCTGATGCTGCTTTAGATTGAGATGCTTCATTTATGATAGCAAAGCCTTCTAGAAGTGGAAGTAAAGACACCGAAGTATTTATATCAGTTTGAGCCGATAGAGAAGGCTCGCTCACAGAAGAGAACGATCAAAAGACAGCGAAAGTGTCATGTATGAGAATAATTAACCCAATAGAAAAAGGGGTGGGTTAATCCGGAGGCAATATTTAAATGAACCAATCACAGGAATTAGAGTAAACCTCCCGGAAAAATGGAGACCTACAGATTTGTATGGCGCCAAAGGCTTCATTTTCGACGATCATCGGACCTAGTTATTCCGTGCCGACATTATTGTGATTCGGACCAACTCCCAGGCATTAAGGCTTTGATATGGTGCAAACGACCCCTGCGATGCTGCCTACTTTTCTTTCCTCTTCCTTTTCTCTCCTCTTGACCATCTCCCCTCATTCTCTCTCTCCTTGACCATCTCACCCCTTATTTCCAACCCTCCAACTGTATGAAACACTCATGCGATACCACAGTTTGGGCGAACCTCGAGCAGTCACTCCATACTCTTTTCCGGTTTCCGAACTACATTCTTTGCAATTGACTGTTCAAAGTCTCCTGGTCTCCCTTGAACAAATGCAACATGACTTCAAGTGTCGCGCGAAGCTCGAAAGGCAGCATTAAGAAGTGAGCATGATGGCTGGAAATGTTTGTTTACTGTTACTAATTTGACGCAGAATTCAAGGACCAATAGTGGCAATCACGGTCGGGGCATCAAAGGAACCCTTTCATGTGCACGAATCAATCATCTGCAATTCTTCGCTCTTCTTCAAAACGGCCATGTCAGGGTCTTGGAAGGAATCCAAGGAGCACACTTTCAAGCTCCCGGAAGATGACCCCGAAATCTTTGCTCTAATATTTGCACTGGCTTTACTTCGCCGAAATCCCCGTGATGCTTGAAAAATATGCAGCAAAGGAAGAAGCAGCAAGGCACCGTTACAAGGAGTACCATAATCTCGTCGATGCATATGTGCTCGGTGACAAGTTGCTCGATGGCAAGTTTCAGAATTCAATCATCGATGCAATTCTCGAGATGTGCTCTACGCCTGATGCACACGATGGAAAGAAATACTATCCTAGTATGGCGGTGATCAAACATGCATACATAGTTACGACCGAGTCTGCCGGAATTCGCAAACTGTTTGTGGATTTGTTTGTGAATACTGCGGCAGCCAAGTGGCTCAGTAGAGAACTTCAGAACTTCCAGCGGAATTTCTCTATTCGGTTGCTGAAGGCCTCATGATTAAAAGAACCTCTTATGGTGGGCCAATCAAAGCATCCCAGTATTATGCTAAGCCCTCGCTATTCTAATGTGGCAATGTGACTACCCCGGGCTTTTCTGACTTCATTCTGACTTCATTCATCTTCCCACTTTGTTTTCAATGACCTCTAACTTAGTAAGGCATTTAGATATATAATGGTCAAATTTTGTATTCGTTTCATTTCTTGAAAGTCCGTAGCTAATCCAGCTAATTGGTAAATTGGTATATGCATCTTCGACCTTCGTTTAGCCAGACTCGTTCCTTCTGTGGTGTATCTACTCGAGTCCTCACCCCTGGAATATGAACTACATTAATTAGGATCCGCCGAATGAAGAATAGATGCCGTGATAACCGACAGTCGAGGCCAATTATGCAGATGTGGACACTGGAGATATGAAAATTCCGAAAAAGGAAAGATATGTCAGGACGTTACCTCGTTACCTCCGCTAAGTCCGAAAGCTTGTGCAACTTTATTTGAAAGGATCATACCTGCTTGTTCCAAAAGGACACATCCTCCGAGATTTTCATCTCCCATCTTTTCATCTCCAGGCTCAAAGCATCCAAAATGCCTTCGGATAACCACATCAAAGCAGCCTTGTCTCTCATCGAGGACAAGTCCAAGATCCTTGGCTTGACCATCGGCAACTATGAGAACGTGCAACCTGGAACATACCTACCCCGCAAAGGTACGAAGCAGTCTATCCCCTGACCTCCCCTTTCCCCTTTCCCCTCCCCCAAATCGTGTGACAGGCAATCCAAATATGGACTAACAAAAACCACAGCATGTCAAGAGCCCCCGAAGCTCTCCTTCACTGGCACCAACCCTAACAGCACCTACATGATCGTGAGCATGGACATTGATGCCCCCTTCCCTGGCTTCGGAGTCCTGGGTCCCATCCTTCACTGGATCCAGTCCGATGTCAAAGCCACCAGCGAGGGTGTACTGGAGTACGACGCGCCCTTCGTCGCCAACTACATCGGCCCTGCTCCCCCTCCAATGAGCTCGCCCCATCGGTATACCTTCTTCCTGTACGAACAGCCTGCAGACTTTGATCTCACGGCCCATGCACCTGCTGGTGGCAAGAAGCTTGGCAACTATAATCGTATGTGGTACGATCTTGATGCTTGGGCAGAGAAGATCAAGCTTGGTCCTCTTGTGGCTTTCAACTATTTCACCAGCAACTAGCTGGTTTTTGATGTTAATCGGGTTATGGTTTGATGAAGTTTAAATGGGAAGATATGTCGTTTCTCGTGGTCGTTTTATTCTCGAGTCCAGAGGGACCTCACTAATTGTCAGTCAATGAATGTTGCTTTACTTTGGCTAAATTAATCAATGACTCCAAATTTCTCAACTTAACATCCTATACTGTAATAAGGGATGCACATGTGTCTTCTCTTGCTTCTTGCTCTGGCAGTAATAGACACGAGAGCTTCTCGATGAGCCACTCAGCTTGTAAATCATCTACTAGGTGATATCTCAGCCCTCATACAGCCCTCAGCCTCAGGTTTCAATGGAGAATCCCGGGGGCTTGAAAGGAGCATCTGAGGTTGTCTTTGTTTATTGTTTGTCTGTGCCATTATTGCAGTGCCATCAATAGTTTATAAGGGTAGTCAGATTCCCCAACAAGGATTTTCTGCGTTTAATTTCATGGGTACTTTTCTTAGTGTGGTTCATTTTCCATCGGGGAAGATGGCTTCCAACAAACCGGTAGACAAGCTGGCTGACAATCTGAAGGGGTTGGTCATCGGCGCCAGCGGTACAATCCCTGGATATCAACATGGTATGTTTTCCCTCAAATCAAAGCATATCTATAGAGAGAGAGGGAGAGAGAGACGTTTCCTAGATATAATTTGATGAATGACACCTTTTATCTAGAGGAAATCAAGCGGATGGTCGAGGAATGTGGTGCGAAGTTTGCCGCGATAAATATCAACAAATGCACTCATCTGGTGACGACAGAAAAAAATGCCAACAAAGATTTGAGAAAGAGTTAGTTACATCAAGCTTCGCATCCTGTGATATAAAGTGTCTACTAACAGGGTGATTTTGCTTCAGTCAATGTGGCTCGTGAACTAGAAAGCTGCCAAATTGTGAACATCGATTGGCTGCTTAAGAAGATCGGAAACGATATTCCAGAGCATGGTCAGAAAAAAACAATCAAGGGCGAGAGGAATGAAGATAGCAAGCCCAAAGGCAAAAAGCGTGCGCGAGAATCTTCAGTTGGGGACGACGAAGGCAACCCTTCGAAGAGAACGAAGGATGAAGAACAGATCAAGCTCAAGTACCTGATCAGTTTGGTTGATGAGAAATACCCAAACCCGAGTTAGTGATACGATGGGGTATTTTCCAAGACTTTTCTAACACTTCGTTATTAGGTAGCACGCTATCCGTTTACCAGGACGACACCGGTTTGATATGGGATGCCACACTGGTCAGTCTTGGTGTGAGAAAAGTTCAGATTTGCCGCATACAACTTCTCCTTCGTCGCGAGTCACAAAAGTTCCACCTGTGGAACTTGCAGTACCAATGCGGGTCATCCGAGACGTCAACATCAATTGGAAGGGTAGGAAGCTTCGACTCGGTAAAGCGTGCGTTTGAGGTGAAGTTCAAGTCACTCAGTCATCTAGAATGGGAAGACCGAAATGATATTCCTTCTTCTAAAGGCTGGATTTTCCTCCAGATGCCTCAAAGGGAAGTTCCCGTTTTCACCAGCCGGATCAGCCCGTTGCCAACAAGCGTTGAGAACGTTTTGAAAATCATCTTCACATCGGGAGGAGACTTGAAAAACTATGTCCATTTGCTAAACAGTCAGGGGCGCGGTATTTTGCTTGAAAACCAAGTGGACAAGAAAAAGCTCCTGATCGGGATTGCAGTCTTGGCCAAGCTGATGGAGCTCACCAATCCTCAGCTAAATCCTCGCGACACTTACAAAGCGAAGAACAAACTGTGCAACTTCTACAATCACTTGATTCTCACACAAGGGACTCTTTCGGATAACAAAGATATTGTCAGACAGGAATTGGAATCCCTCGATCTGTTACTCAAGTTGCGCGATGCCAGCGAGATTCTGGAAAAAGAATGCCAGTCTTCCTCATTGGCGATGAGCCAGATATCCCAAGTACTTGGTCTGGCAAAAATGCTCCCAGGTATATATCCTTTGTGCCTTCCTGTGGTAATTTCTTGAGTGCGTTGCAAAGCATGAACCTGACCCTTGTTGACAGTGAGGAGAGATTCGACGGAGTTCAAGATGCTCCAGGAGTATATTGAGAAAACTTCTTATTCACAACACATTTATCAATTCAAGGCAAGCTGTGTTCAAATGAGATAAGCAAAATCCCAGTCTAACGCATTCATATTCCTAGGAGATCATCGGCCTGTTCCGTCTCGAACGTCCTGGGGAAGCGGAGCGTTTTGCCCAGTGGGAAAAGGAAAACCTTGCTAACATTGGAGATCGGCGACTTCTGTGGCATGGCTCAAAAGCTAGCAACTTTGCAGGGATCTTGAGCCAAGGGCTGCGTGGCGATGGGATTGTCAGTACCGATGGAAAGCGCTTCCTTCCTGGGGTATACTTTGCCGACATGTCTACTAAGTCGGCACAATATTGCAGAGGGAACGGGGAAGTCTTGATGTTGTTATGCGAAGTCGAGCTGGGGAAATCCAGGGCTTTTTCAGTCCACCATCTTGGCATGACTGTCCATACTAAATGGCGCGATGCTGGATATATTCACCCAGATTTCAAGGGGTGCAAAGTGCCAGATGTTCACGCGGGAAGATCAACTACAATCCCGAACGGCCGGCGTTATTACACCTCTGAGTATATCGCGAAAAACCCAGCACAAATTCGTCAACGGTATTTGTTCCATGTTAAGCTAGTTCAAACGCCAGGGACTTAGGGCGAAGATGATTGAGGGATTCGAGTTAATTACAGAATGTTGAGATTTTCCTATCTGGAGGTATCTAGATTTATTTTAGTTCAATACAACGTTAGAGGTTCTATATCTGCATAATCCCACCTCATAGACATCGGGTAGTGGATGAATAGGTATGTTCGACTTTGTATAGGTATAACATAGCTAGGGCATCGAATATCAGGTGGTTTTGTCTTGGCACTTCCCCTCCCCTCACTTGCACGAGCACGAGCCACATTGACAGAATTGTTGCCAGGGTTGTAACTCTTCTCTCGGGGTTTTCTTTTGCTTCCCACAGCTTCGTTCACGTCATGATTAATTTGTGGACCGCCGCTCTGGTAGTAAGTGCTGTCGCGCAGTACTTTCCGCCCATACCAGATGGATTGAAGGTGGTTGAATCGAAGCATCAGAAGGGAGTGAAGATCTCATACAAACAGGTGTGATTATTTTGAAGTCATTGATATCACATAGTGTCATACTGATAGATTGCACAGCCTGGAATTTGTGAAACAACGCCAGGGGTGAGATCATACTCGGGTTACGTCCATCTACCCCCAGGCTCTCTGGACGATGTAAATGTTGATCAAGACTACCCGATCAATACATTCTTCTGGTTTTTCGAGTCTCGTCATAACCCGAAAAATGCGCCATTGTCTATATGGATGAACGGAGGCCCAGGAAGTTCTTCCATGATTGGCCTCATGCAGGAAAATGGACCCTGCATAGTCAACGAGGACTCCAATTCTACAGAACTCAATCCCTGGTCCTGGAATAACTATGTCAATATGCTGTACATTGACCAGCCAAATCAGGTTGGCTTCAGTTATGATGTCCTGACGAACGGTACCTTTGATCAGGTTAAAGGTGCCTGGAACTTGTCGGAGTGGTCCGGGGTGCCCAAGCAGAACAACACTTTCTACGTCGGCACGACAGCTAGCCAAGATAAGTCTACTGTGGCTAATAGCACTGCGAACTCCGCGCGGTCACTATGGCACTTTGCTCAAACCTGGTTCACCGAGTTTCCGCATTACAAGCCCCATGATGACCGGGTTAGCATCTGGACTGAGTCATACGGCGGTCGTTACGGTCCATCTTTCACTGCCTTCTTTCAGGAGCAAAACGAAAAGATAAAAAATGGCAGCATCGATCCCTCGGGGGATCCACACTATATTCACCTGGATACACTGGGCATCATCAACGGCTGCATTGATCTCCTAGTACAGGAAGCGACATACCCAGTAATGGCATACAACAATACCTACGACATCCAGGCCATCAACAAGACCTTATACGGTTACGCTATGAATTCATGGGGTCGCCCCGGCGGATGCAAAGACCAGATCATTCACTGTCGCGCGCTGGCCGCAGAGGGCGATCCGCAAATGCACGGCAACAACGAAACCGTCAACAAAGCGTGCCACGACGCCGACAAGTTCTGCAGCAACAATGTCGAAGGTGCATACTTAGAGTTTGCAGACCGTGGCTACTACGACATCACCCACAAGAACCCCGACCCTTTCCCACCATCCTACTACTTGGGCTGGCTGAACCAGCACTGGGTGCAAGGCGCACTGGGCGTCCCGATTAACTTTACCCAATCAAGCGACGGTGCCTACAACGCTTTTAATTCTGTCGGAGACTATCCGCGTTCAGACGTGCACGGCTACCTCGAAGACCTGGCGTACGTGCTGGACTCCGGTATCAAGGTCGCCCTCGTTTACGGTGACAAAGACTACGCTTGCAACTGGATTGGGGGTGAAGACGCCAGCTTGCTGGTCAATCATGCTAGTGCTTCTGGGTTCCGGTCTGCCGGGTACACGCCTCTACGCACGAACTCCTCGTATATTGGCGGCCAGGTCCGGCAACATGGCAACTTTTCTTTCACCCGTGTCTACGATGCTGGTCATGAAGTCCCGGCCTACCAGCCACAGACTGCATATGAGATCTTCTATCGTTCGCTGTTCAACCGCGATCTGGCCACGGGTAAGATCAATACTGCACGTAATGGCTCCTATGCCACGCAAGGGCCTGCGTCTACTTGGCATATCAAGAACAACGTCCCGGAGAGTCCGGATCCGCTCTGCTATATCCTTGCTTTGGGGTCGACATGCACTGAAGACCAGATTGCAAGTGTGATCAATGGCACCGCTGTTATTCGTGATTATGTTGTTGTGGAGGAAAGTTGAAGTACCTCATGTAATCTCTATACATTATTGCTCCTCATGTATTTTACTAGAACACGCGAAATGACATATAGAAATGAGTATGCTTCTTCTATAAGTGAGACTTGTTGTGACGATGTCCTCGTATGTTCGATATTCAATACACTCTTTGCTTGCAGCCAAGGCTATCTCAAACATAACTGATCGGATGGCTCGATGGCTTAGTCAACTGAAGAAGGTCATGAATAGCATGAGTGGATGTCTCGCATCTTCAACACGATAAGAGGATCCGAGGGTTTCACAAGTCGTCACAGCTTAAGTGTAGGTTTTGCATCGCATGGAGGTTCGATTCGTCTAGGTTCGGCCCGAGCCGTGGTGGCGCCCGATTCGACGGATGGCGGGTCTGAAAACCGGGTCCCTGGTTTCCACCAGGTACATACCGAGGAAGTAAAGGAAAGAAGCCTCCTCGCGGTCTAGAGAAGCTATGGATCACTTATATTCATAGCCCTTCAAACAGCAGAGAGTCGCCGATCTGTAGAGTCATAAAACAGACAATCATGCAGATGGTAACAGTAACCAGACCAGATCACTGTGTTTCAGTATACAATCACTTCACAATGCTATGTCCTCCATGACTGACTGAATATAAGAAGAGCAGTAATCTCGGCATTGGCTTGATTGAAACCATTGCATGCACTCGTAATAGAATTTACGATGAGAGAACTGTGAAAGTCAAAAATACGACACATATCTGAGACATCAGGTAGAACAATGAAACTACTATAGGTGACTGCAAACTAGGCTGTGATATCATATCCTAAGGAGGAAGGCACCTGCCCACTCCCAGATCAGGTGCCTTCCCTTTTGGTCAAAAATCGTCACCAACCCCAGTTCCCCATTTACCTTAAACCACTGGGAGGGTATAAATACCTGCCCCCTCCCCCCTCCCCCCTCTCCCTCTTCTTCTTTCTTTCTTCTTCAACACTCCGGGTCCACATTGCACATCGTGTTCCTATTGAGTACTTTTAATTTTTTGAACTTTCGCCAGCTCCAGATTAGTATTCAACATACGTCTGCTGCTGTCCAGTGAAGGGAAATCCTGAGGATTCTGATTGGAACTTTGCTGCGGCTCGTTGAAGGCTGAAACTAGGTTGGGGCTTCGGTCCTGGTCTAATGGCACGAAGCATGTTACGGTAGAAGAACTCTCCCTCTGACCACTGCGGATACAGACTGTACTTCTCTGAGTTCTCCATTGTCCGTTAGGAGCTTAACAAAAGGGGCTCTGTTCTCATCTCCTTCCTACAGGGATAACTCTCTGTTCCCAATGATGAAACAATAATCTGAGGGTAGAACGTTCCTTCCTTATTTAACCCAGCTACACGGGTCATGTGTGTGGCACCTGAGCAAGACTTGCACCTTTACGTGGTGTTCAGGACGAGTAGCCTTTACGGTGAAACCAAGCAAGTCCTCATTATCTAGAACTGCAATAGAACTTGGTATTAGATACTTCAATAAGTCCTTTTGTAAATGCTTCTGTCGTAACCTGTGCCTTCATTTCCAAACTTTATGTACCGGCTCTCATCCATGGATGTCAAACTTCTTTTCAAACTGCCACAACAAACTGACATCACCACAAACATCTTACATTACAGTGAGTATATTACCCAGTCGCCTTCCCTTATTCAATCATATTCAGACTCCTGAAGTGTTGCATAAGCCTTCTAACGTTGGATATTAGACAACAAACCTTTCTACCCTTAGAAAATTCAACTTAAAATGGCATTTCCACACCGGTTCGGCTGGCTCGCAAGACCGTCACCATTTCTTACTCCTCGACAGCCCCGACTGAGCCCAGGCAAGACAGGACGGTTGGTGACATACGATATCACTTCCGAGATGCAGTGCCCGCTATTCGATCGGCTGCGATGGTGCTTTGAGCTGGACTTTATGTGCGGATACCAATCCACATGGGGTCTTCATGATCAGCGCTGGACTGAGGATGGAGAATAGTTCCATCGAGAGAACGAAGAGGCAGCACATTAAGAGTCAAGACACCCATTGCTTTGTTATTGACATTCGCTAATTTAGATTCTTGCCACAGTTACTCCATGTTCAGAAAGCAAAGCCCTGTTCAGACTGCCCAGCACTTCTGCTAACCCCGAGAAACGAGAATCAATGAACGGACCCAGCCTCGACCGACACATATGGCAGCAACCAGTGTCTACATGTACTTCGAAGTATCCATTGTCATTCTACAAAACGGTAGCCAGACATACCGGCAAGGGCATGAGACCATGAGGCCATGACTGTGGAACTAATACCATCCTGAGGCCAGCCATGACATGCAAAGCACCATATTGTACAAATGAGATCAGTCTCATTCCGGAATCAATCCCCATTTGCTGATCATGAAACCCTTCGCGGCGACAAGATACCATTCTGAAAGTACGCCATATTTGTCAATCACTTGTTCAGGAGCATCTAGTCCTCTGGTGATGTACTCTAAAAGTCACCGATATCAATAACGCTTGCCACTCATTTTCACAAAATCACAATCGAAGCTTGCCATCACTCTATAACTCGATAGACGACTTATGTATACTGCGATTCAATTCAATGTCCTTCTACCTTCCCCTTTCCGGAACCACACGCACGCAAAAGTCTGGTCAGGCGCTAGGAACCTTATACATGCATTGTCGGAACTATACGGCGAAGTACCCTCGTCTCTCCGTGCTTTCTAGTTGGTACCCTTAGCATTCGTCCACTCTTATTTTGTTCGCTCTATACCTATAGTTGTTGGCTAAATACTTGGTCTAAGGCGGCGTAGAATCGTAATGCTTGTCAAATGAGCATCAGCACGGCATCTTACAGGTTCTGAAGGAGGCGTCGAGACCAAAGGATGATATCCATTATCCCCGGCAGAGGTGACATTCAATCTCGGCGGGGAAGTTGCTTTGACTTGGTGTTACGTATATAGGCCTTTTGTGCATCAATTTACTAGATAGTAGATTGGAGAGTATGGTTCTTTTGTAGACTACATTCTAGTTTGTCTATGCGAACAATAATAAAGGTAGAACATCGTGATTGTGGTTCTAGATATACTAGTTAAAGGCTCATCAAGAAACTCGTAAGATGAGTACTCTGAAAAATAAAAAGGACGGGGGAGAAATATCAACGCTAGTGAATAAACCATCCATATCATATAAACCAATCATTCCTTCTTATCATGCGCAGTCTCGACCGGTTTATTACCAACGCCAGACGACCAAGCAACACGAGCAAGCCGCCAAAGCACCCAGATGAACCCAAGAGAGATCACCGCACAAGTGCCAAGCTCGATATATTTACCCTGGAAGTAGCCCTCCTCGCCCTCAAGTCGTAGAACCGGGACATCGATCTCCTCCACAAGACGATCACCCGTAGGCTGAAGCTGGTAGAATAGGGTTCGCGGACCGAACAAGCTGTCCCAGCCGAGATGTGTGCGGTCGAAGGGATTCACACTCATCTTTGTGCTGTCCTCGGAAGTACAGGCCCAGAAGACGACGGGCCAGGGAATGTAAGCAGTGCGGTGTCCTGTTTCGGATGGTGGCAGGTAGCGCAGGTGTAGAGGAATGGTGGCAGTCCAGTTTGAGGGATCTGGTGTGCTGGCCGTTTCTTCGAGTTCAGGGGGTGTTGCTAGCTCGAAGAGCCAGTTTGAGCCCCAGCGCTGAACAACCCAGTCTGGGGCTTCAAGGTCCGTTTCTCCTGCTAAGGCCTGGAGAGCTACGAGATTGTGTGACTCGAGGAAGAGTGGATCTGTTGTTGCGAGTTGGTATTGATCGCCAAAGATGACGGAGGGGAGGGTGAGGTATGTGTGTAGACCGCAGGTTGTGTCGTCTGGTGCTGTGGGTCGTTTGAGGGATGATCGAGGCATGGATATAGACATTGTTGGGTGGAGACCAGTCGGGGATGCGAAGGAGACGGTGTAGCTCGATGGTTCAGTGAGAGATTGGTGACGGGAGGGGAATGAGAACATAGTTGGTTCTGTACAAGGGTTAGACAAAAGACAAGCGATATAAATAACGCCGAGGCCACATACTTAGCTTCTCGTCCTCTCCGACAACCGCTAATAGCCCGCCCATCTTAATCTCCTCCGGCTCAAGCCCTGCTTCGGCGCCCAAGAGACCGAACTCGACTTGATCGTCAGCGGAGGCTGGCTTTTGAAACTTATCCGTCCAACCGCCCTGGGGTGGACTGGTCCAGAGCCCAGACACAGTTAAGGCGTGCGAAGAGCTGTCATAGTCGATATCGACTGAGTCTGCAGAGAGGAGAGCATCGGCGCGGGTGTCGCACTCGCGGCCACCTGTACGACTCTGGTCACAGACAGTGTTGTGAATATATTTGACCAGCGGCTGTGTGGAAGGGAGTCGGGTGTAATATTGTAGAGCGGCCGAGGAACCGAATCGTGTTGAAAGAAGCGGAGGTGTAATGAACGCATCCTGTGTAGCAGAGTCCGAGTCAGATTGAACATATGCAAGATATGGCCAGGGAAAGCCCTCGAAAGAAAGGAACATTGTGAAATACCTCCTGCTTCGAACAATCCTTATATTGGGCGTCCTTGCTAGGCGCAACTATCGTGCGGAGCAGCGTGCACAGTGCCTCTCTATCGATAACCAAATCAGTCAATCGCGTTTTCCAGAGCCGAAGATGTAGGGATGAGCTCACGAAGATGATTCCGACCCGAGCGGAGTATAATGGACATGCAGGCCAGGCGAAACCCGGCTACTGAATGGCACGACAGCATCGAAAGACTTCTCGGAGGCCCAGCGGAGGTGGAGCTCATGAGATTGCTCGAGGACAGCACGCAACTAAACACAAAGTAACTAGGTCAGCGTTGTGTAATTCTTAACAGTTCTTCAATCGACAATGCCTTCTCACCTCCTCTGGGAGCTCGTCCAGTCCGACCGTAATGCGATCCTCCCGCGCAGCGTCTATGTCACGGACGGAGAGGGATGACGTGGTTAACACAGCTTGCTCCGGGTCGAAGGCGGCATTGACGCTCTGGATGAAGGTGATTCTTCGTTTCATGGTTTCGATCAAGGGATATCGAGTGGACAGTAAACAGAAGTGACGAAGTCCAAGGTTGATCTCTCCAAGGTGTCACTGGTTTCTCCGCATTCGCTTAATTGGGTTAGACTACACATATGGACATTACGTTATTCAGTCACGACTTCACCAGGTGGAATCTTCCCAAGGTTGTATTCATATATTGTACATAAAGACGGCTTGTCAAATGAAAGATAAAAATGCTTATTAAAAAGTTCTCATACAAAAGTTTGTTCGTGTCATTGTCATTAAATACGCCCTCTTTCGCCCCAAACGCCAGGTATATGCAATTAGACCGAATCCTTCTAAGGCAGCACATCCCGGAGAATATCTTTTTGGGAGCTAGTCAAGCTAGTGGGGAAAGTGACGTTGGCGCGGATGATTAGGTCGCCGCGGGTGCTGGGGTTCTTGGAGATCACCATGCCTAGACCGGGGTAGCGCTCTTCATGGCCCGGCTGCGTTGGACCGGGCTTAGACACGCGAATTGATTTTCCGTCGATGGTGCGGACAATGCGTTCCCAGCCTGTCAGTGCTTCCTTTAGGCTGAGATCGACCGTGGTAATAAGATTGTCACCAGAACGCTTGAAAGTAGGATGATCGATCTGTAAAGGGTTGTTAGCAATGGTTCAAGTATCTTCATAGTTAGGAGCGGTCTCATACCTCTTTAACAATGAGATGAACATCCTGTCGTCCTCCTTCTTCCTGATCTCCAATATTTCTGTACTTGATCTTTGAGCCAGCACGCAGCCCAGGCTTGATATTGGCTTCCAAAGTCACCTCCTTAGTAGTGAGCCTGCCCTGGTGGTCAAAGGCCTTGCTCTTCGTCTTGACCTTCTTAGATGTACCCTTGTAGATTTCCTCCAAAGTAAGAGGCAAGTCTTTCTCGATGACAGTCGGTTCAGGGGTAGGTGCGCGCGGCTTTGAGAATCCCGGACGACTGCTACGGAAGCCGCCGCCTCCACCGCCGCCGCCCAGTCCTCCTGCGAGCATGGAGATAAGATCTTCTTCATCCATGCCGCCCATGCCGCCCATACCACCCATGCCGCCGCCGCTATCCTTGGCAAAGCTGCGGAAGGTGTCGTTGGCATCGCTGAAACTGAAGCCGCCGCCACCGCCAGGGCCGGTCGAGAAGTGGAACTTGCGGCCTCCTCCACCGCCTGGCATGCCTCCGGGCATTCCGCCGAAGTTGAATCCACCGGGCATGCCGCCTTCAAAGCCAGATGGGCCGCCTCCGCCTGACCCTGGTGGGGGAGGTGCAGGGCCGCCGCGCATCAGATACTCGAGGCCGAACTGGTCGTAGACCTTTCGTTTTTCTGGATCAGATAGGACTTCGTATGCTTGAGAGACCTCTGTAATGAGACTGTTAGTCATGCGTAACAAACCGAAACTGTGCGGGATAACGTACCTTTGAATTTATCAGCAGACGAAGGGTTATCCTTGTTCTTATCCGGGTGGTGCTTCAATGCTGCCTTCCGGTATGCTTTCTTAATCTCGTCTTGTGTGGCATCAGGCTTAATGCTCAACACGTCATAGAGTTTGCTCTCGGCAACCATATTGCGGGGTAAGGTTGTGTTTTATGTTAAAATGTAAACAGCAGGTCAAAAATGGTGAGCCTCGAATCGGAGGTGGACACTTATGAACCAACGATGAGGGAAAAGATTCCTGCGTGGGGGGTGAGGGATGGTACGGTGTGCCTCTCGAATGATGTAGAAGGTTCGAAGCGGAAAGACGGATCGTATGTAAAAGGAATTGAGGATTTAAGGAGTGCGGAAAGGCACGGGTTGGAGATCATGAGACTGGAGAAGAAACGAAGCTCGAGAAAATCCTGCAAGGAACTGGAAAAGTACTTGAATGTCAGTGACCAAGGTGGTCTCCAGGTGGGTGACGTCAGCGGTGAAGTCTTGACGTGTGTGACTTGGGCCCATCGAAGTTTCGAGAAGCTTCGATCGAACAGCAACTCGGCCAATTCGACGAGAAATGCTCAGGGGAAGGGTTTAAATACTATTTAGAGGCTCTGTAGGGTAATATTGCTTTTTTCAATCTGTTTTAGGAGATGCAGGGGACTTTTTGGCTGCTTGTTGACTGCGATCTACAATTCTACCGTTTGTGGAGTATAACAACGAGGATACAGGTCCCACCGACCAGACATTTGGAGGTACCTATCTTCATATATCCTTTCATATCTCGTATTGATCATTTATCTCCCTACTTCCACAATGCTTTCCGAGATGGAAAAAAAAAGAAAAGAAAGTGAAGACGAAAGAAAAGGTGCGAATGGGTTTATAGTGGCCGGAATCAGGAAGAAAGGTCTTATCGGTACTCCCCGATATAAACAATTGGGTATCAACTCCGAACTCCGTCAAACCACCTCAAATCCCCATCTCGGGTAAAGGCCATGGGACATCCGTCATTAAAAACTGATCTAGATCAAAGTTCTGCAGACTAGGCATATCAATCATCAAATCACCCAGCCACGAGAACTCCGCATCTGATACCAGCACGTCTGGCGCAACCTGCTGCTGCCTTTCATTCTGGTTGGCTAACGCGGTCTGTGCAATCTGCCTATCTTTCTGATCAACCGCTGGAGCCGCCGCCGCAGCATTGACTCGCAACACCTCAGCAAGAGCACGTGTATCATCCTCCTTTCGCCGCTGATGCAATGCAATAAGTAGGTATGCCGTGGAATACGCCTCACGCATAGAAGGTGTATCATAGGCAGCGAGAACTTCGCGCAGAGTCCGCATCGCATCAGCGAGCAACGCCAACGCAGCCCGATTGTCAATCGCTAGAAGTGAGCAGACGACCTGAAAGGGAACGTTGGCAACTTGGTGCCAGGGGCAGCTGGAGGCGACCATTCCTCGTGCAGCACGGAGCCCACGACCTGCCAGTGCAAGGACGCGGTCAATGAGGTTAGAGGATAATGGGCCGTGTGGATTTAGGGCGCGGAGACGGCGATAAATGCATAGCATTAGGTTGCATTGGACTAATATTAGCGAGGGTTCGGAATAGAGGAGATCCAGGACGGAGGCGAGGGCTGCTTCGAGTTCTGGGAGATCTTGTGGTGACGGCCCTGTTGGATCGAGGTTTTCGGATAGTGGGAGGAGGTGGAAGAGCTCTGCTCGTGGGGCTCGGGGTGGTGCTTGCTGGGGTGGATTGCGGGATTGGGGTGTGATTGTAGGAGAGGGAGCTGCGGCACCGTGGAGGACAACGCGGGAGCGACCAAGGTCGAAGGAAATCCATGTGTTGAGATGACGAGCCATGCCAAAGAGTCTTTGCCTGGTTACGGGGTCGCTGGTTCCCTGTCCTATATCGCCATCTTGTGTCTCGGGCGGTGATGTATGGAGCAGGCCTGCTGCTTCTGGGTCTGAAGTTCCAAGATGTAGTCCTGCAGCCTCGATGAGATGCATCAGTGTACAACTGGCCATCCATGCAGCATGTGGTGAGGCTGTCATGCGTAAATACGCAGCACGCAACACCCAGCCTGTCACTATGTCGACCGAGGGTGTTTCCGCTGCGAGGATAGTCTTATCCAGTAGAGTGCGCGCTGTCTCAATGAGTCGAAGTTCCACTGCTATGATCTCGCGCCGCGAAAACAGATACCCAAAGGCAGCCACGCCGCATAGTACAGCATCATAGGGGTGTTCCGCAGAATCATTAGGAGATGACGAAAGTTCCCAGCGCTGTACGATTCGAGTAAAGATAATTTTACGGTCCAGAAATGTATAGCATGGATCGATCTTCTCGAAGTAGATTGCTGCTAGCCGCCGCATCTCTTCCTGTGTGATAAGTTTGGTGATAGTCGTCGGCACCGTGACAGGCATCGAGGGAAGCGCCGAGGATAGTGTTGGCGATATCCGTCTCTCGCCGATGTTCCAGGCAAACAACTGCAATCGTGGTGCATGAGCCGGGTCAATTCTGAGCCCAAGTTTGCGAACAAACGCGGCGCCAGAATTGGCCTGTAGGGAATGAGTTACGCCCTCTGAACTGCTTGTACAGCGGGGAGAAGCCTGCACTGTAGCGGCCTGTTCCGTATTGGCTGTGGCGCCGACGGTATTTGGAACTGCATCGGACCAGCCATCTGTAGGTCGTTCACTGAGTGACAGGCTCGCTCGGTACAGACTATGCGATATGGCGCGTTTCTTGCGCGCACTGTATTGGCATTCCGCACCGGTTTGGGCGCAAGTGCTACAGGGCTGTCCGCCTGAACATTTGCGCTTTCGTGACTGACACAAAGTGCAGGCTAAACGCGAACGCTTTCGAGGCATTGACTCGGACATCTTTGAAAAAATACGGGGAACATTGCGGGGGGTTGAAAGGGTAACATGGTGCCAAGCAAATTAAACATCTTCCCCTTTTTCATTTTGAACTACACAACTACACGAAACTTAACTACATCGATGTACGAGGTACACTTTTTTTCATCTCTTCGCCATTCACATTTCGGGTTAATCCCCATATTCTCTTCCATCCGGATATCTCATCATCCCCTCAAGTTCCTTTAGATCTGGCATTCCCGATGGCCCAGGCATATACAAGAGGTTTTCCCGGAGGGTCGTGCCATTCCACCATATTTCGTTCTTGTGCAGCGCTTCCATGATCTTCGGCGCGTCGATGTACGTGCGGATTTCGACCATCTGACCACGATACCAACGTGTGAACCAAACATTGATGATATCGAACTTGTCACCTGTAGTGGGTCAGCAAGTCAGCAATGCTGAAGATAGGAAGATTTCCTTGCTCACCAGAATTCATCACGCCTTTGAACTGAATCTCCGCCACTGACCATGCAGCGTTACACCCGCCATAGATTCCCTGGGGGTGGATTTCAAACAGATCTGCATGGTCAAAAAACAACATGCTGACTCGACGCAGGGCATTGACGTAGAAGTGCATTAGGTCGTTGTAGTGTCCGGCGATTGGGTGATGTCCGACGACGGTGAAGCTGACATTCTTGTGGATCAGCGTAAATAGCTTGCTCATGTCTTTCTCGAGATGTTTGAACGAGTCCCAAATGTGTGGTTGAGACACATATTTGCAATCCGTGGATGGGTTCTCGAACTTGAACCCTTCTCGGTCATGGGGTATTGGGTCGTCCACAACTCCGGTGCCATTGCACTTGCCATCTGGGTCAACAAGTCCAGTGCCATCATCACATCCCGACGGCAGAAGTGGGCTCTGGCTGTTGTCTCCGGGGATTGAGAGAATAGAGCGTCCAAAAGTCGCCGAGGGCAGGAGCAATGCCAATAGGGCATAGGATAGATATTGAGTCAAAATCATTGTTCAATTCTTGCAATGAGAACACCAGGCTAGCTATCTTGATCATTCTTTCTCGTATACAGCCTGGTTCTTATAGCTGGTGCTACCTGCATTTCAGTAATGTGCCGTATGCCCGTGGCCGCCAGCGTTGCTTTCTACATTGTTACCCTTAGTCTAAAGGAACTCTATGTGTGACACAACCAAACCTACCGAAATTTTGTGATTGAACGGCGAGTTTCCTATACAGAAGACCGAAAATTGAGCATCTCCGAGTGGCGAATGGCGCGGGCAAGGTGCAGGGCTACTGCAATGTGCCATTGGCTGTGCCATTGGCTGTGGCAATAGTGTGGTGTACAGACAAAATCCAGGCCATCAAACGGCCTCGACGGTTGATATTTCCTATCTTTGAATCCATCGAATTTAGGTAAATGTGATGATCCCATTGAAAGGCTAAATAGTTCTCTGTGCCTGATAGATACCAATCTAACCACATCTAACCATTGTCCAGGCCGAACCCGGCGATTGGATGAGTCAGATCTAAGCCGATAACAGAATTTGACGCCCTCCGATTGGCCGACACCGGCAAAGTCGGTGAGAGCACGTGCCCACGGAGTCGGGGTGAAAAACCTCTTGTTTCCTTCTTTTTCGTTTTCTTTCTCATTATTTCTCTACTCCAGATTTTCAACGCAAAAGATCTCCATGTTGCACTAAATAGCAACCCCCTCATCTCTCTCTACCATACTCTGACTGCCACCTGCTAGTCGCGCTTATGTGTTTGGCACCCTCGATCTTCACCTCCCAGGACTATATCTCGGACCACCTCTGGAAAGCCAACATCAACTGAACAGTACAAAGCTTTCTACTGAATTACAATTGTTACTTATAAAATAAAAATGATCTCCAACCTCTTCAAGGCAATGCCTGCCCGGGCTTCTGCCTTCGCCTCCATGAGCCGAACCTCTGGTCAGACTCGCTTCATGGCTACTGTGCGCCGTGCCGCTATGGAGCCTGCTACCTTCACTATCCGTGATGGTCCCATGTTCTCTGGCAAGTCTTTCGGTGCCCGCTCCAACATCTCTGGCGAAGCCGTCTTCACTACATCCCTTGTTGGATACCCCGAGTCCTTGACCGATCCCTCATACCGTGGTCAGATCCTGGTTTTCACCCAGCCTCTGATTGGCAACTACGGAGTTCCCTCCGCCGAGAAGGATCCCAATGGACTTTTGAAATACTTCGAGTCTCCCAATCTCCAGGCAGCTGGTGTTGTTGTTGCCGATGTCGCCGAGCAATACAGCCACTGGACTGCTGTCCAGAGTCTGGGCGAGTGGTGTGCCCGTGAAGGTGTTCCTGCCATCTCGGGTGTCGATACTCGTGCAATTGTCACCTACCTGCGTGAGCAGGGCTCTTCTCTGGCCCGTATCACCGTCGGCGAAGAGTACGACGCCAACGAGGATGAGGCTTTCACTGACCCTGAGCAAATCCACCTGGTGCGCCAGGTCAGCACCAAACAGCCTTTCCATGTTGCCGCTGCTGATCCCCACTCCCACGTTGCTGTCATCGACTGTGGTGTTAAGGAGAACATTCTCCGCAGCTTGGTCGGTCGTGGCTCCAGTGTCACTGTCCTGCCCTTCGACTACCCCATCCACGAGGTCGCCCACCACTTCGATGGTGTCTTCATCTCCAACGGCCCCGGTGACCCAACACACTGCCAGGACACCGTCTACCACCTCAAGCGTCTGATGGAGACCTCCCAGGTCCCCATTTTCGGTATTTGCCTAGGCCACCAGCTCCTGGCTCTGGCCGCCGGTGCCAGCACCATCAAGCTGAAGTACGGAAACCGGGCTCACAACATTCCCGCTCTTGACCTTAGCACTGGTCGCTGCCACATCACCAGCCAGAACCACGGTTACGCCGTTGATGCTTCGACTCTGCCATCGGACTGGAAGCCGTACTTCATCAACCTGAACGACCAGAGCAACGAAGGCATGATCCACAAGTCTCGTCCCATATTCAGCACCCAGTTCCACCCCGAGGCCAAGGGTGGTCCACTCGACTCATCCTACCTCTTCGATATCTACCTAGACTCTGTGCTGAAGTACAAGAACAGCCAGACTGGCCTCTACCCCCAGCGTGACAGCCGTCCCAGCCCTCTGCTGGTCGACCTGCTCGCCAAGGAGCGCGTGGGTGTTCAACCCACCATTGGCCAGCAGAACGTGGTAGCCGCTGCCGCTGCTTCTGCTGCCATTGCCGCTGCTGCTTAAGCAGGTCAACGTATTGCAGTAGGCGTTCTGGTTTTTGAGGGTTCAATTGGTTGCCTTGGTGAAATAATTTTATTTTTCGTATTTTTTGTTCATAGATTCATGCATGGCATATGAAATCAACAGCATTAAGACCATAGTTTCATGTCCAAGCTCTTTGTAGTCGTATCAATATTTTCATCATCGCTTTCGATCTCTAAGTTCTACTTGGCCACTATAGATACCACATCCTCATCAGCAACCAAATGTCCCAATCCTACCCGCTGCGGAATATGTCTCGCGCTCGCTCCCCACACCAACGCATACTTGAATGTGTCCTTGATTGTGCGATGGATCTGGTCACAAACATCCTCAATGGTGGAGTCCTTTCGTACGATGAGCGCCTCATCGAATTTAGGTTCCTCTCCCTTCCTATAGATACGAGAATCATCAGCCACGTTAATGAAACTAAAGTCAAGGATATATCATACCGTTTTGTGTAAAGCCGCATTAGTCTCAGTTCCTTCCAGATGCGTTCGACAACGTCTTGCACGCCGAGGTCAAGTTCGCAACTCATGACGGCTGTGTGAGGTTCGCGGGCAAGGGCATCAAGGAACTCGAGGCCGATGCTGTCGACCTTGTTGTAAACGTAAAGACTGGGAGAAAGATTAGCATTTGCCAGTTGGATATCAATCATTATTAGTGTCAATCTTACCAGCGGATGTACTTCCGGTGGTCCTTCATAATCACATCGATAAAGTCGTCGATCGTGGCTATAACGGAGCCGCAGTTAGTGATTTGGCCTGGCTTTTGTATTAAAGCACCACATACCATTCTCATCTCGTACGAGTACCTCGCAGTTGAGAATTTTGTAATCCCGGAGCACGTTGTAAACCAACTTTTCATCCAAATGCTTTGGGGGTGGGCGAAAGAGATCTTCATGCCACCGGCCTTTTTGATTTTCAAGTAGATATTACTGGGATTGTATCAGTTTTGACTCTGCGCAAAACTTCGGGTACAGTATAACATACGGCGGCTCCTTGTTCAACCGAATGCCCACAGCATCCAGCTCGGCCTCGAGCAAGGCTCGCTGTTCGGCACGCTTTGTAGCGTCCAAAATCATCAAGATCAGATCACTTGTCTAGAAGCAGGAATCTTGTCAGTATTTCTGTATTCTTTCCTATTAGGAAAGCTAGCCCCCTCACCTTTGCGGCCGAAATGACCTGCCGACCACGACCTTTGCCCTCGGAGGCACCTTCGATAATACCCGGCAAATCCAAGATTTGAATCTCAGCGCCACCATACTCCAGCACTCCGGGAATAGCCGTCAGCGTGGTGAAAGAGTAGGCTGCAGCCTCACTCTTGGTCTTGGTGATTTTAGACAGGAAGGTAGACTTTCCGACAGAGGGGAAGCCAACAAGAGCCACTCGTGCATCGCCGCTCTTGCTGACATCAAATCCCGCGCCGGGGCCACCGCCAGCACCTCCCACTGGCTCCAAGAGCTGGGCTCTTAGCCGGGCAAGTTTTCTGGGAAGATTGTTAGTTTATATTCGAAATTGAAATTAGAGCATTCAGACTATACCCTTTCAATAGACCCAAATGGTGTTCTGATATGGAGATTTGGAAATTAGATCATATTCTCCCCTGATCAAAATGATATCTTACCTGTCGCCTTGTTCTCTGTGGGTCATTAGCGGGGTGATATATAAGTCTGAAGATAAGAACACTTACTCTGCGTTCGACGCATCTCATCCTCGATCCTGTAAAAGATCAGTAAATTAGGCCGTCCAGCAATTAATAAGAAACGTACTCCTTGATCTTTTCCGTGATGTTCACCATCTTGTCGGTTGAGGCTCGTCGCCTGTGAAATCACTAAATATTTTTCTCTGATGCTTCGTTGTGCCTCAAGAGAGGGAAATACCAAATCCGATGTGCCCTGGCGCACTTGCCAAGCCTTATGTAAGCACCTCAGTTGGAACGGTCCAAGACGTCGACCTTTTTTTTTGAAGCTCAAGCTTAACCTTCCAAGTCAACATCTCCAACACAAACACGACCATGGCAGATACATCGGTTGCTGAGCCACCAGCTCCCATTTCCACCAACCCCGAAACCCTTGAAGTCAATGCCGAACAGACAATTGTGGCAACAACCGGCGCGGACGAGACTGTGCAAGGAGAGCAGCAGCTTCAGTCGGTCAAGAAGACCAAGATTATTCGCAGGAAGAAACGCCCAGCGAGGATACAAGTCGACGCGTCAACCATCAAAGCTGAGCCTGCACAGCAGCCGGGACTCGACTATAATATTTGGTACAACAAGAGCGGCGACAACGACGACAAATATGGCCTCAGCCAGCCTGCGCCTAGTCGCTGCAATATTGCGCGTGACTCGGGATACACTCGCGCTGATCGCATTCCGGGCTCGTTTTTCTGGTAGGAAATTTTACCCTTGCGCATCGCGGTAGATATTTGCTAATCCTTTTTCCGTCCTATCTAGCATACATTTTGCGCGAGGTGTCTGCGTGAAAGGTCAGGATTGTGAATACCTCCATCGTCTACCGACAATTCATGATATGTTAGTGATTCCCATGTCGTACACGATTCGAGCATTCTTTTACTCTGTTGGACTCGTCGGATACAAAAGAACCCGGCTAATCAATGATTCTTAGGTTCAATCCGAACATGGACTGCTTTGGTTAGTATCCTTGCTGTTTGATTTGAAAACAGGCCACTGACTCCAGACTATAGGGAGGGACAAGCACAGCGATTACAAGGAAGTGAGTATTCCTTTGTGACTGGGAGATGATGCTTCGGTATAAACATATGGCTAACGCTACTTGAAATAGGATATGTCCGGAGTAGGCTCATTCACACGCCAAAATAGGACAATCTACGTGGGTCGGATTACAGTTTCGTGAGTACCTCGAAAGGTTATACTTCATCTTCTTGCTAATCAACATCCAGCGATGACATCGAGGAAGTGTGTTCCAGACATTTTGCGGAATGGGGTCAAATCGAAAGAACAAGAGTACTTACCGGACGGGGCGTGGCTTTCGTGACCTATTCGTCAGAAAGTAATGCGCAGTTTGCGTAAGATACCCCTTCCCAAGCTCTCTGTTTGTACCGAACTAACATATGACTAAAGTCTAGCTGCGATGCAAAACCAAAGCTTGGATCATGAAGTGAGTTCAACATTTCAATCCGCAAGATGTGTTATACAAAGGTACTAACAACAAGTAGGAAATTCTTAACGTACGATGGGCAACGGTCGATCCGAACCCGATGGCACAGAAGCGCGAGGCACGCCGGTTAGAAGAGCAAGCCGCCGAGGCTGTGCGCCGGGCTCTGCCCGCAGCTTTTGTAGCAGAGATCGAAGGCCGAGATCCCGAAGCCAAGAGGCGGAAGAAGATCGAGGGGACTTTCGGACTACAGGGCTATGACGTTCCAGATGATGTGTGGCATGCCAGAACCCGTCAATTGGAGGATGCAAGCCGGGCCGCTCAGCTAGAGGCACCTCAACAACCGATGATGATCGAGTCTGCTTCGGTTTCGGTGCAGGAGCAGGAGCAGCAGCAGCAGCAGCCTCAGAGTAATGGCATCTTCTCCAGCTCTGCTCTTGCAGCCCTACGGGGTCTTAATGGCGGAACGGTGACGACCCAGGCACCCAAGGCTGTTGGTGGATCGTTAGTCGGCTACGGCAGCGACGATGAGAGTGACTGATTTACGTGCAGTTTGTGCGGCACCCTAATCCATCATGATTGTGAATTTTTTCATGTACAACAGCAACGATACCTCTGTCAAAATGTTTATTTCTCTCTGCGTCTCCATACAGGATATCCGTAAAATATTATTTCTGGGCGTCATTCATCATCACTATGTATGGTATCATCCCGAGCACTCGCTAAAACACAACATTGAGAGCGTGTCAACCAAAACGAAATATATCCACCCATAAACCAAATGCAAACACCACGAGTCTCATCGATCCGAGACTTATGCTTAACCTAACTCCCCTTCACTCTTCCTCCCATGAGATCAATCAGTCGTAAATTCATTTCTCGCTAGGGTCCCAGGTCATAGTATACGCAGGAGCCTGTGCGGTAGTTGTAGATGAAAGCATTCGTGTAGCTTTCTATGGTATCATTTGTGCGACTCTCCATGGCCAAGTCAGTGAGTAGCTCATGCACTTGACTAAGATACTTCCGCTCTGTCAGCGGTGCGTTCTGGATCACGCTGCGCCAGCTCTCTGCGTCAGAGAGACGCGTGTCGCGAATAGCGTCGAGAACTTCGTCGCGGGTGTCGATGGCTGCGACAGGGCCGTTGCGGGCGTTTTCGGCTACTTCTCGAGAGGAAAGAAGGGCTAGAACACAGTGTATCAGTTAGTATACTGGACTGGATCCCCACTTGAAGCATGAACATACCTGACTCAACAATGTTCCTTCGGTTCGTCTTCTTGTTTCGGTGCTGGGGGATGAGGATGCGCACATCATTGGCCCGTTCCTGGAACGCAAGAGCCTCCTGCTGGCTCAATTGACGGGACTGGCGGGGATCAGGAGTTCCCTCGCGATACTGGCGCGCCTGCACTTCTGATCGAAGCCACTGCACGAGTTCAGGGAGGCGGATATCGAATTCTTCCTTGCGCATCAGATTCCGAACTTTAAACCCACGCTCCTTGCTATCTTGCTTGGCGATTACAATGCACCGGTGATTGGAGTCTTTGTATTTCGCTAGAAGCTCTTCGAGGGACGAGGCATCGACTGCAAGCTCCGCGCTTATATTGTTTGACCAGAGTTCTTCGATGAGTTTAACTCCTGTTGTGCGGAGGACTGTGGGGTCAAAGCTGGCAACAAGTACATTACACTTTGAAGATCAGCAAAATTACATCAAACGAGTCGAGATGGGATGTCACTTACCCGACGGGCTGTCCAGTACAACTCAGCGCTTGTCTCTGAATCTTTCGACGGAGTCTTGGCCTTCAGGTAATCGATCATCGATGACCGTAGTAGATCGGAGCCGAGGTTGAAACCAACAGCATGTGCTTGAGGTCGATTTGATAGGCCATGAGGTGAGAATTCCTGAATCAACCGGTCATATCTGCCACCTGCAGCAAACACGCCGCGTCTTTTGCTATCAAAAATACACTGGAACAGAATGCTACCGCGGTAGAACTTGTCATGAACGCTGCTGAGTGGGTTGATGTAAATCTTCCGTTTCACGCCGAAACTCTGCAAATAGGTCATGAGCACGTTCAAACGAGCGAATATTGGTGAAATCCGCTCCGCATATTCAGTTCCTTCCATGATAATTTGAAGTCTGCGTTTTGTCTCCTTCAACGAGTCTGTATCATATTCATTAGCGTGTTGTTCCCAATATGAGAAAGTAAGCTTAAGTACCTCTGAAATCGAAACGGGCAAGGTCATCCAACGAAGTTGAAGCAACACCAATTGCCGGGGCCCGAAGTTCACTTCGAATCTTTTGCATGTTATATTTTCCAACATTCAGCTTACTGAGAACCTCCTTTGCCTTGGGGATTTGAGTAGGCGTGACGCGACAAAATTCCATGATAAGCTGGAGTAGATCGGAGTGGTTGACGAGGAAGCACATCGGAGTAGACCGCAGAGGTGGGAATTCCTCAATTATTTCGTCCAAAACTTTGATCACTTCTGCCTCTTTTAAGGCTAGATCCAGGGTATTGTGGGACACAATATCAAAGTCAACTTCGCGGTGAGTTTGTGGTTCGCCACCATGTATTGTATCCCTGTAGACTGTGCCGAACGCAAATGTCTTCTCTAGTGAGTGATCTTGTCTTGGAATTGCTCGTGCGTTTGGAAGTGTGAGATCATATGGCAGCTGTAAAAGATTGCCAGATGCATCCAGCACACGTACTGCACCGTTGTTGTAATGCTGAGATCGAGGAAAGAGCATTTGCCTTGTTGACTCGACAGCACCATGTCTTCGAAATATCGAGGTTAGCTTCTTCTTAACCAAGCCCTGGACAAGTAGCTCGTTCGCGGCCGGTACCGCATGCGAGTCTATGTCCCAAGCAATATCTTCGAATTTCTTAGGCGACTGAGAAAAGATAGCTGATAGAATCTTTTTGTAGTCGGGTGAATTTGGATCCGAGAGCAGATGCACAATAGCCCGTCTGAATGTCTCTTCTTCGACCTGCAGAGGTATCTTTCCGCTGGACAAAAGGTCGGACGCCGTGGGGCGTTCACTCGGATCATGGCTTAGAAGAGATTCGATGATCTGGCCCTGGAGCAACTTATCGGATTGCTGGAAAGCGGGCGGAAGAGTGTGGTTTTTTTCTCGAATTTGTCGAAGAGTTTGGTCTCGTTCCATACCAGTTGGCAATGGATAACACATCTCGAAGAAGATTACACCGAGTGAAAACATCTAGAATGCGTGAGCAGGTAGTCGTGGTGCCAATTGTATATTCACTACTCACATCGACTTTCTCATTGTAGTGCCCCGAAACAACTGACTTCATCTCCGGTGCCACATAGTAGGTTGTACCCAAACTACGAGTGAAATCTCCTTCGAAGTCGGCGGCTGCGGACGAACGCACGGCCGTCGTGAATTGGCCACTTGTTGCAAGACCAAAGTCACCAATGCGGGGATTGTTTGCAACGTCAATGAAAATGTTGTCGGGCTTCAAGTCACGGTGTATGATGCCGTGACTATGGATATGGCTCAAGCCATCGAGAATTTGCCGGAAGAGACGCCATGAACGCTCGATATCATCGCACAAATCATCCTTTATTAGATCGCGCAAGGTCTTGGGAATATTAGTCTAGAACAACGAGCAGAGCGATATTGAAACACTTACATGCTTCTCGCAGTACTCCATCTGGATGTAGAGTGTCGTTACGATAGGCCTGGCATAAGAGCCAGATCTCGCTCGGCTGAGCTCAACTTCCTCCACACTTCCGGCATCAAAGTCGCTATCATTTTCATTTACCCTGTTCCTCTCTGGCGTCTCTGGATAAGCGGGGTCAGATAACGTTCCTTCGTTTTCATCGTCGCTGTCTGATGCGGCAAACTCTATTTTTGGATATCCGCTGGAGCTGATGAAATCGAGGCCTCCTGTACTGAATCCGTGATCATGGCTAGCAAACGGATCACCTTCGGTGGAGGACATAGCCTCTTCCTCGACGTTATTGAAGTCCTCTTCAAGCCAAGCAGCGTAGTATCGGACAACATAGGGATGGTTCAGCCGAGATAGCAGCATGGTTTCGGAAAGGGTGTCTTTCAACGCTGCAGCCGATGTTTGAGAGATCTTTTTTATCGCATATAACCGACCATCGAGCTTGTTCCGGGCTTTGACTACCTGCCCAAACCCACCACGGCCTAGCTGGCCTGTCTCGTCGAAGTCTTGGTGATATCGTGAGAAAGCCGGCACGGGTCCAAAAGAGTCTAGCCGTGGCTGTCTCTGCATGGACACAGATCCCGATGCCCTTTCTCGCATCTTTAACGGCGCATCCACGCGGAAAAACTCTGACGGTTGGAGCTGGAAAGCAGTCGGACGCTTTTTGGGATTTGGGCGAAAGAATTCACAAAGCAAATCTTGCAGGGGCGGCGAGAGCCCCATAGACACCATCAACTGATTGGCGGAGGTGTACCTGAGAAGGACATCCTTTCCAAAGCCCATCTGAAGTAGCACGATTCCAAGATCCCAGACATCAGTCTTCATGGAGGGAGCAGAACCTTCCTGTGTTAGCTCTGGGGGTAGCCAAAGTGGTGATTTTGACGCCGCGAAAGAGGTTTTTCTACTAAGAGAGTCGGGCAAGGCTTCTTCGACGTTGGACTGCAGTTTAACGATAGTTTCACCGGAAGGAGTCCTGAACAAGAAGACTCGGCCACAATGAATGTTGCCATGCACAAAGCCGCTGCGGTGGTAGAACTCCAGAGCCTCGAGTAACTGAATCATCCAGCCGCGGAGCATGTCAGCCGCTACGGTGCCCACAATATCCAGGAGCTCGGAAAGGGAACCCTTGTTGGCATATTCGAAAAGTGCGAAGACGGTCCAAGAATTATCGGATGAATCCAAGTGGTCTATTGGGCGATTGATTTTAAAGCCCACAAATTCAACAAGGTTGGGGTGTCGCAATCGCTTGATTCCCTCTAACTTGTCCTCACTAGTGCGCATCTGCTCACGGAATGTCAATCCTTCGGAATTATTCTCGACGAGGCAAAGTTCCTTCAACACAAGCAGCGGGACGTAGCATCGGCTTTCAGACACAACAGGCCTGACGGTGAAGGTCTTTTTGCACTGTTCGCTTTGCAGAAGGGTCTTGCCATAGACGGCGCGGAAGACCAGCGGCTGCTCATCGGTGTCATTGACGACCAACGGAGGATCAAAGCAGATGGCGCCAGGTGTATTTTCCACAAGGTCATCAGCATAACTCATATCCACGCCGCCAGATCGACTCTTTCGTCTCATAAGACGAGCCTTGTTCCGCTGTCGCATCTTGTCTTGAAGCATTTCTTGCAATGCGCGCTCTTCCTCGACAGCTGCAGCCTTCTGTTTGCGAAGTTTCTCTTGTTTTTCTAGGTCTGCGCGCTGAAGAGCAGCCGCCTCTTGTTCCATGCGCTCCTCTTCAAGGCTGGGTAGGTCTTTGTCCTGTGCCTGTGCCTGGGCAACATCCTCTAGAACATCTTGGATGGACACCGCCAGCTCGTAAATCATTTCACTGCCGAGCAGAGATTTTGGCTTGTTGTGTAGAATTTCTTGTATCCGGGAGCGCGCTCCATCGCGAAAGCCGTCGAGGTTTCCTGGTGAGAGATTTGGGATTGTTTTGGGATATGTAGCGGGGAGTTCGACCAGCAAAATGAGGAGTACGTCTGGATTCGAGGAGGAGCGCAAATGGAGCCTGAATGTCACATCGGAGGATTGCTAGAGTGTACGGGTTAGTGACCACGAGGGGCCCAAACAGCTTAAAGAGACACCCACCTGCCAGGCCGACCGCCTATTTTCTACTTCTTCAAAGTCGTCGCCATAGATTGAGCGCAGAGCTTCCACCTCTGTCTGGTGGATTTCTCGGTAATTGGTTGTAAATACGGGGGACGTCACGGAGGAATCAGACGTTTGGTTTTTCTGGCGGGAGGGCTTCTTCCTCTGTTTGGGAGACATCGCGGGGCGTGGCGAGAGCTCGCCCTACAAGCGACCCTGAGCGTCGTGCGACATGAGGGCTAGTAATAAAAGATGAAAGGGTTATGGGAGGTTGAAAGAAATCGGGCAGTCTTTTTTCCCTCGCCTCTGAGGCTAGACCAAACAGGCGGTCAGATAATACGCCCTTCCACTTCTAGGGTGGAGATGCTTAGTATAAATGACGACCCAGTTGGTTTAACTGTGGATTTATGGATTTACCGCTTGTATTCTACTGTGGTTTAATTTCATCTCATGCTTCTTGCGTCTTGTGTTTATTTCAAGTCGTTCACAAGATAGCCCATGTGTCTATCGCCTTGTCTATCATCGCCGTCAAGCCAAATCACCAGTCCCTGCCCAATAGTGGGCCCAGATATTGTGAGATAATGAGCTGGTGAGCCGGTGAGCTGGCATATTGAGAAGGGTGGCAATTATCGTCCCTGCAGTCGATCATCTCTGCTAGTGTTGTCTTTGTTCCTGTGACTATCCACAATCGAAGACATCGAGCAACAAGCTGCTAGCCACAGCAATCATTGGTGCGTATCCGCAATGATTCCACTATCCTTGGCCCTAGGTCCAACACACAGACCCATCTGCAAATGCGACGCTGCTAGCGGCAATCAGGATCCAGCCCAGGTTGAGGGTGCCGAAATACGAAGCCACATATATAGCAGCCCCATGAAGATGTCCCGGACTCCATAGATTGACATTAGACTGTCGGGCCTCTGCTTGTCCACCACTCTGTACAGAGTTAGGTGGCTGGAACTGGAAGAAAGTGAGAGCATGTTCTGGACGTAGGATGGCGTTGACACCGAATCCGACAAATGTGGTTGCAATTGCGCGGGCAGTCAAGCGGAGAACAACCAAACGGGAAAGAAAGATATTGTCATGCCAAGCCAGTCTTATGTCTGACGTTTGCGTAGTGTCTGCAGTGGCTTGCAGCTTTCAAGGACTTGAGCGCCGTAAGGGACCACAGTGTAGTCTTCGAAGTCATGGGAAAGACAAGAATTCAGGGGATTTCTTATATAAGACCTGAAGATAGCATAGATATTTGTAAGATGCTCTGAGAACAATCAGAACTCGAAGAGGAAGAATTGATCTAAGCAAGGCTGGTACATAGTTGTAGACTCCAGATATGCCAAGTACCCCAGGAGGGTACATATGGATGTCCACTCCTCTGTACACGCACATGTGTACTCTGTACACACCTGTTATGGGCAACTCAAGGCCCACAAGCGAATTCTTCTCGGAATAAATGTGGAACAAAAGAAGGTGAAGAACTTCTCCCAAATCCCAATCCTCAAAAGTCCAAAACCAAGTGCCAAGCGTAAACAAAAGGAACACGAGCTTATCGATAAGCTTTTTCCGACCGCGCCGACCATAAACATCCATTAGACTTTCGATTGGGCTTGAACTTCGAGGTTTCTTCCACCCCCGGCAGTCAAAATGCTGGACTGGATTAAGGGGAACGATCAAACCGCACAGGCTACAGGTGTGGTGATTACTTCGACCTTTGAAGCCATTGCTCTAACGTGATGCTACAGATGACTCTAAGCTGCTAGAACCCCCTGAGACCCCAGGCCATGTCTTTGCCATTCGTGCATTCAAGAGCGCTCTGTTTGGCACCCCCGGAGCAGAGGACGATGGAAAAAACGCGTCCCCGAGACAGTCCGGTCACCAACGAAGCAAAAGCGATACGATAACATCCGCGCCAACTGATATCAAGACCGACGCGAAATCAGGCGACGCGACTTACAACCCCACGGGATCCCCTACGAAAAGCATACTTGTTACACCCGGAACCGCATTGCGTCGGAAGACGGTATCCTTTGGCGAAAGTGTCATCGACAATGAGGGGAAACGCCCCGGCTCGGCCAGTAAGCCGGCCAAGACTCCACCAAATCCTTCCGGAGCCCTCAGTACCCAGTGGATGTCTGGGTCATCAGATGGAAACGGCAAGCCGAGGAGCAAACTCACCCAGACACTCATGAATGCACGCGACAACGCATCCAAGAACTCCGATCCGGCCAAATCTGATGAGAACACACGGGAAACGAAACATGCCATGGGCTCTGGGTCCAAGGATACCCTCGACGAAGATGTCACCATCAATCTGGATGACCCTCACTCAGAGTCAGGCAAGTACTGGAAAACTGAATTCGATAATTACCGTGTGAAAACCAATCGAGAGATTAAGAAATTGATTCATTACCGATCGATTGCCAAATCCTACGCTCGCAAGAAGGATACAGAAGCTATGCGGCTGGCCGACAAGCTCAAGGAGGAAGAAGAAAAGGTCGCCGAGATGGAAAGGCAGGTGTCACGGCTTGCTTCTTCGATGGTCGGGGAGGGATCGACAGGCGACAAGGAGCAACTGGTTCAAGATTTGACCAAACAAACCGCTCTTGCATTGCAATATAAGCAGCAGGTTACCTCGTTGCGCAGCGCCTTAGAACGACATGATGTCGTAAGCGATGCGGCAAATATCACACAAAAGAAAAAGGAAGAACCTCCTTCAAACGCTCCAACGGAAGAGCTTCGCAAAACACAGCAAGAATTGGAACAAGCCAATGCCAAGATTGAGGAGATGAAAAAACAGCAGTCCGAACTAAACAAACTTCAAGACCTCGCGCAGAGCTCAGAAAAGAAAGCTCAAGCACTCGAGAAAGAGAACGACACTCTAAAACAAACACTAGCCCGAGTGAAGCAGGAAATGTCTCGATATGAAGGTCGACGAAAGGACAAGGAAACAAGACTGAAGCAGAGAGAGGCCAGACTGGAGCAGCGGATCCAAGAATACAGAGAAAAGCTCAAAACGGTCTCCCAAGAGCACCGTGCCTCGGAAGAGAATTTGAGAAATACTTCTGATGCAGAGCGCCGCCACATGCAGAAACAAATCGACCTTCTGAAGCTGCGACTCGGTTCTACCGAACGCTTTCCGGCATTACCTTCCACGGAGCGGCAATTCCTAAGTCCTCGCAAAGACAACACAGACGTGCAGGCGTTTGACTTTGACTTTGGTGACCAGGACATTACCGATCAGGACCTTGAGAAACCCGAAGAAGAACTCACCGAAGATACCGAGCCTCCCCCAAGCCCGAGTCCACGCTCCAAATCACGACCTGCTCTGCGCAGTAACACCTTGGGCACACTTAGTACAAGACCGATTACCCGAAACATAGTCGCAGATGACGACGAGGTGACACATTATCTAAACGAAATCCTCCTGAAGCCGCAACTCGAGGCCCGTACTGCCGCATTGGATCAAATTCCCCCGTCCTCGCCTCCCGATATCTCAGCCCTGAAGTCGCTGAACCGCACATACTCAAGACGCCGACTCGGTGAAGGTCAACGGCTCTATCGGAATCCGAACCTGAACCCGAACCCCCCTGCGGACGATGATACTCGGCTCAGCAACCGACACACACAACGCGAACGTACCCACATCAAATCGACCCTCGATTCAATGTCTGGCCTCCCTTCTCGCAGCCGGTATTCGGGGTATGCCGTTTCAGCGGGCGAGCGCGTGGGCAAGCGGTATGGGTTTACTGATGTCCAGCGTGAAGCGCTCACTCCTGAACGAATTGCCGCGGCCAAGTCACGGCTCAGGCAGAAGGACAGTCGTAAGATCAAAGCATTTGGAAAGGAGAATCTTTGACGTGTTTACTATGGAGTCGCCTGATTTGGAAATAGGGCATAGCTTAGCATTATGGGGTGGTGTTTGGGTTCATGAGCGTTACTCTTTTTCGTCACCTTGTTTCTATCTACGTCTTCAGCGAAGACAATTGTTGTATTATTGAATCGGTGACTCTTCTCTAGTCTCTCGATCGGGATCGCTCGTAGGCACTGTTGCCAAATTCTCGCTGCCTCCGGGATTGGTACATGGCTATTGTATCATATCACACCTTTATTCAAAATCTAGATTAGGTATTATCTTGTCTACATCCAGCTGTGATCTTTCACTATCTAGTTCACCTACAAAGGTTCCATATCGGTATATTCACCCAGTGTGCAACGGAAAGAACACGGTCGGTGGTGCAGTGCGCTCTCAGGCCTTACCATCAGAAAGCGACACGACGGCCCATTTCCCGCCCCAAGCCCACTTGCGAGACTCAGCACCGCCGCCTCCCGGCAGTGCGCGGAGCTTCTCGTCCTCGCCAGCGGGGAGACCGACAACGGGATCAGCCTTGCAAGTGCGGAAGGCTAGAACACGGATCCCCGACTTAGGGCCAAGCGGGCCGATGGCTTCTGTGAAAGGAGTGGTGGGATCCCATTGGGCCTGGATATTGTTAGCAAGAAACACAAAGCGAAAGAAAGAAAGCAAAGAACACTGGACTTACATCATTGACCAATTTTCGGTAGTTCAGGTCGCCCTTGAACAAGACAAGCTCGCTTTCCTTCAGATCTTCGAACAGCTCCGGTGCCACGAATGGCATGCGCCAGTAACCGCCCTGGGTGGTCCAGAAAGCGTGCGGACGCAGGATCAGCTTACCATCCTGGTGGAACTGGCTCCACTGCTCGAAGAGGAATTGCACGTCGGAAACCTCCTTGTCGGAAAGAGGGGGGAATGTCTTGCCCGAGCCATCGGGCGCTGTATAAAAGGCCTGCGGGTCGACCATGCAGTTAAGCAGATCGGAGAAATCCTTCGGGGTGACATCGGACACAAACCACGGTAGACGCTTGGGGTGGAGCACGACGCTGGTCGCCAGTCCGGCGGACAGCAAGTATCCAGCGAGAATCAGATCAACGAATAACTCAAATCCGGAGTTGTCTAAGACGATGTCGACGCGGCGCTCGCCGTCCTTCTTCTCTCTCCGCGCCTTTTGCATTACCCCGAAAGCAGAATCCAGGTCGTTGACAATGATGTTCTGCTCTGATGCTTTGCGCGCCTCAGAGCCCTGTAGTTTCTGGATATCCTCGTAGGTGAGAGATGTCAGAAGTGACAGATCGGTGGCATTACCCCATAAGCAGATCTCGCACATCTCCGAGAAGAGAAGCTTCTCGGCCTCGTCGATTTCCTCTGGCGACTTGTTTTCTCTTGCTTTTCCAGACTCGGACTCTGTCGCCAACTCACGGTATCTCGCAGCAAGTTCTAGTACGGCGGGACGGGACGACTTGAATGTATCCATCTTCTGGCGGGCGAACACGTCATAGCCCTTCCAATGCTTAGACAACGCGAAAAGGGCTTCCATGCGGCGGTCTATGATGGTCGTTGGTCAGTATTGCCGTAATCTATCTATTCTCTGTTGGACCGGGGTTGGGCTTACAGAGGTAACACTCTGCATAAAGCCAGGCCACATCGTGCCAGTGGGGGTTTCCACGCTCCTCCAGCTCCTTGTTATACGAAGCGATATCTGGGTGTCCGTCGTCGTCCAGGGGACTATCCACAATAGACACGTTAGGTGAAGCTCCTATAGCCCCGGTATAGAGGATGAAAAGACTCACGTGAGTTGTCGGTCATGCTGAAGCTCATACTTCAACGAGGCCAATTTGGCGATAATGCCCTTGCCTTCATTTGCCTTCTCGCCGTCCTTGACAGCTACAACGGTGCGATGAAGGTCATCGATAGCGCCAGTCTAGAGTCGTCACACATATTCAGCAATTGATCCGGTTATCGATTGTCTGCCAAGCTCACGATAATGACAGGCCACCGTTCGTTGGCCGAGACCGAGGCAAAGCTCGATTTGTCGGAGGTGAGGTATTGAGCTGCTCGGGTTAGTCTAGTATATTTATAGCCGAGCAAGAATACTTACGAGTCTTAGGATCGAATTCCATGACTGCTATGCAAGATGTATCTAGACCGAGGGCAAAAAGTCAAAGTGGCAGAATCGAGGGGATGGCGCGGGGTAAAAGCGGTGTACAATATACAGTTGGCGACGTCAGAGCTACTCGGAGCTACTGGAATACATCATTGCGCATAAATACATTGGGAACATCAATTCTAGGTAGATCACGTAGGCAACGCCGCGCTTGAAAATCAAATATGCCATCACATTCCCGAAAGAATAGAGTTATCCGCGTACGCCTGAGACAGTTAGCTGGGGAACTTGATTAGATGTTTAGGTCATGGTCTTACCATCGGCTTGATATCGGGGTGGGGCGATGCCCCAAAGACTTCATATGCAAGTTTGAGTTCAGGGCCGATGTTGATGTAAGCGCCCTTATTTTCAGTCGCGTCGCAGTATCTGGGAGCGGAGAAGACGGTGATGCAACGACCATCGTGTTCAACGTCGTAACCGCCCATCCGCACCTCGTGGGAGCGAATGATAGCCTCCAGTCCATTGTTTTCACAGAAGCGCTTGGTCACATCAGGGCCAAATTGAAGACCGACACCACGCTTGCTGGGGCCGCGGCCAACCTCGGGCTGCGGGTCTGTCCAGAGCATCTCCATCATCAGGCCCGCTTGGCCAGGCTGTCGTTGGTTATGGCGGTTGAGCTTGCGGATATCATCTAACTTGATCTTGTCGTCGGAGAAGAGACCGCCGTGCAGGACAAGATACTTCTCGCCGATCAAAGTGGCCAGCGGCAGAGCCGAGAATGACTCGGAGAATACCTTGAAGACCCGCTCGTTATATTTAGCCTTGCACTCTCCTTCGAAGCCGTAGACCTTATTCATATCATCCGTCTCGTGGTTTCCACGGTTAAGGAAGAGACCGTTAGGACGCAACCACTTGTATGCATAAAGCAGGAGTGCGACTTCGCAGGACCAGGAGCCACGGTCAACAAAGTCACCGTTGAAGAGGTAGGCGTGGGTATCGGAGGGGGCACCATTTAGTCGGAAGATATTGAGCAAATCGAAGAATTGGCCTGGACAATCAGCAACTGCTTCGCTCACCGAGCAAGACAATACATACCGTGTGTATCACCGCAGACTGTCAACTTCTTGCCCGATTCCACCCCAATCTCGACCATCGTAGGCTCGTTGTATACGATATCCTTGACAGCCTTGATGATCTGGAAGACATATTTGCGATGAATGTTCTTTCCATCCTTAAAGCGCTGAACCATATCATCGAGGAACTCCTGCGTCATTTCCTCGCCGAGGCGCACACCATCATAACCGTCCTCAACATTGATAGCATCGATATCCAAATCCGCAAAAGCCGAAGGCGGATCTGAGATCTCAATGGCCCGCTCGAACTCTCTGCGGCGCACGAGTTTCTCACACTCAGCAGCCTTCAGCTTAGCATTCTGGTTGGTCGGTTCGCGTCTCACCACAGCCTTGAAATCCTTCAAGGCCTCCTTGTAGCTTAGAATGGCGGTATTGGCGAGGGCACGTCTCCAGTAGGCCTGTGTTAAATGTGGATTTAGCATATATCGCCGCGACCGCTCAATATGCAGGCACAAGTTGTCTCTCTTGCCGGCTAAGAATGCCGACTAACCTTCACATAGTTGGGATCCAATTCGATTGCCTTGGTGGCGTCGGCGATAGCAAAACCGAAGGCTTCGAGCTTAATCTGAGCCTATGACAGCAAAGAAGAAAAGACATTAGCTATGCCGATCCTAACGAATGTGCACGCGACTCTCGGGAATAGATCGTCAGGAACATACCTGGGCCCGGTTGGAGAAGAAAGAAGGATCCTTGTCGAATTTGGCAATAGCCTGGGTATAAAAGTCGACAGCGACAGGCCAGTCATGCTCAGCAAAGGCCTTGTTGCCCTGCACCTTAAGCGCAGTGGCCAATTCTTGATCGGTAGCCATTTGGGGCGGCGATAAAAAGCGAGGGGCACGAGACAGGGATTATCGGTGCGAAACAAGGGCGCGGAGGAAAAAAGGCAACGATTACACGAGCCGGAAGAGAAAGAAAGAGAAGCCAGAAATAAATAAAACTCCTCTAAATCCAGTATAGACTAAGAGGAAAACGAAAAAAAGACGAGAGAGTGGTCAAAAGGGAAAAAAAAGTGAGAGAAGAGAGGAGAGGCTTGTTCCTGCTTCTGCAATGTTCTTTTTCCCCGATCGCAACGGGCCTTGGCATCGATCCAGACTTGACGGCCACCTCCCATCCATAGCTTTTTCTCTCTCCTCACACCCTCAGATCTCAACATGTCTTTCTACGCCCCTCCGAACCAGCAGCGCACGCTGCGCGCATGCATGGTCTGCTCTGTCGTCCAAGTCCACAATGTAAGAGCTACACGATCTCCGTTCCGCGGGCGACTCTAACGACCCCCGGTTCCTCTAGAAATTCATGCGTGAAGGCTGCCCGAATTGCGAGAGCACCCTCCAACTCCGGGGGAACAATGATGCTATCCAAGAATGCACGTCGCAGGTCTTCGAGGGCCTGATTGCTGTGAGGGATCCGGCTGCGAGCTGGGTTGCTCGTTGGCAGCGGTTGGATAACTACGTGCCGGGCACATATGCGACCAAGGTTACGGGGACAGTCAGTGCATTCTTTGAATTCCTAGAGCTATATTGCTCCTCTTATCAAGCACGGGGTGGCTAATTGTGTCTTTCGCGTTGACAGCTTCCGGAATACATTATCAACAGTCTAGAGGACTCTGGTATTAAATATGTCCCGTACGTGTTCGAAATCATTCCACCATCTGAGATACCTCCCTCGTGATACTAACGGTCGCTTATTCCAGTCGAGACGGAAGCACTGGCGAGGAAGATGCATGAAGCACCTACTCTCAAGTCTTTAACGCTACACGAACCCACCCTTGCCATACAGTCTTGGTTTTGGATACCCTAGCGCACACCCCATTGATTCAATCAAGACATGCTATATGAGGGTGGTTTCGACAATTTTGCTGGTCGTTCGGAGTTTCGGGGAAGCATCACCTACTTTCTTCATATTTATTGGACTGCGAGGGCATACACAGCAGATTCAGATTACTTAGGAGTTTACAATTCCAGTTTCTTCAGCTGGGGGCATAAGACAAGAAAACGGCTTGCAGAGTATATATCCTACTCTGGCCAATGATTCAGTTGAGTCATAACTCAATGGTGGACAAGCACAGTTTCCAGGAATATATGTTGCATTTTTGTAATGACATAAAAAGTCGTGGCAGCAAGGGAGAAAAGTGAACCCTGCAGGACATAAAAGAAAACAGAAAAAAACGCTCATTAAGCCAAATTGAAAACGCCCGGACACTTCTAAAGGTCATTGCCGGCATTTGTTTAGATGTTCTGGACGATCTGCTCGATCTTCTCAAGGAGGATATCGGCTGTAGTAAACATATTAGTAAAGAGCTCTTAAGCACGAGAAAGAAGGTTAACATACCGTGGTGCTTCTGGAAGACCAGCATGGGACGCAGACGGATAGCAGAGGGACCACAGCCACCGACGTTGACACCGAAGGACTTGGCCTTGGCAGTGAACTGGTCACGCTTGGGGGTGTCCCAGGCGATGAAGGTACCGTGGTCCTTACCACGGAGGTTCTGGAAGTGCTCGGGGTACTTCTGGGCGAGACCGGCGAGACCGGCGTAGAGGTAGTCACCGGTGGTGCGGGTGTTCTCGACGAGGTTGAGACGCTCGATCTCCTGGATGATTCCGCGGAAGATCAGGGCGCGGGCTGGGTCGCCCATCCAGGTGTTGAACTGGCGGTAGGGCTTGTTGGGGCGCAGGGCGGGGTTGCCGTAGTAGTAGCCGGCGGTCTGGGCCTTCTTGGAGAAGGTGACCATGTCCGGGGGAGAGGTCAGGTTCCAGTGGTCGTGGGCCCAGAACTTACCGGTGGCACCGACACCGGTCTGCACCTCGTCGACGATGAAGAGGACGTTGGTGCGCTTGGTGATGTCGCGGAGACCCTGGAAGAAGGCGGGCGAGGCGTGGTTGTCACCACCCTCGGACTGGATGGGCTCGACCACGACGGCGGCGACGGGGTTGTGGAACTCCTTGATGAGACGCTCGACCTCGGCCAAGCAGCGCTGCTCCTCGGCGGTGTTCTCCTGGACGTGCTCCTCCAGAGGGTACTTCAGCTGGGGGAAGGGGGCCTGGGGCCAGTCAAAGGCGGGGATGTCAAGCTTGTGGATGGGCTTGCTGCGGGTGGTGGACAGGGAGCCGAAGAGACGGCCGTGGAAGGCAGACTTGAAGGAGAGAATGGACAGGTGGGGAGAACCAGGGCTCTGGTTGTTCATGGTGGAGAGCAGCTCATCCTTGGAGAAGTCGGCGTCGACGCCACCACGCTGCATCTGGCGGTAGTACATGAAGGCGGCCTTGTAGGCAGTCTCGTTGGCATCGGAACCAGCCATGGCGGTGAAGACCTGGTTCAGGCCCTTGGGGGCAGCACGGAGGACTCCAGTCTTGAGAATCTCAGCCCAGTCGGAGGAGGGGAAGTTACCCAGAGCAGGGCGGTTAATCAAAGCGCAGGCCATCTCGGGCGAGGCGGCAACCTGCTTGAGGTGGGGGTTGTTGTATCCAACGGGAATAGAAGCAATCTGAGCATACCTACTGGGGTCAGCTCCGTTCTTTCCAATTGACTCGTGGCTAGTGACTTACACATCAAGGAGCTTGTTTCCATCGAGATCGGCGATGCTAGAGGCGGGGTTAGTCGAGTCTTGATAGTGGGTTAGGGTCTATCATACTAGTTACCAACGGACTGGTAGTAGTCGGCCAACATGTTCAAGCTGCGGACATCGAAGACCTCGTCGAGCTCGGCGGCGGCGGCCTTGTTCTTAGGTCCGGGGAGTGACCCCGAGACGGAGGGTGCGGAGGGCTCATTGGGGAAGAAAGGCTTCTCTGCACGCAGACTGGCAGTGGTAGAGAGAGCGCGAGCTGCCGGGAGGCGAGCTGCAGAGCGCAGCCGTGTGCTGGCACGGAAGACCGAGGACATTGTGAATATGATGTGAAGAGGGGTGGTGGGGAGGGTAGATGAAGGGTGGAGAGAGAATAGCGGTCTAGTAAGCTATCCAATGGAGGAAAAAGGACCCAGATCAATCAATCTATTCGGGCAAAAGCAACGGAAGGAGGACGGATGAAATAGAATGGAACAGCAACAGGCGCAGGGTGGCTTTATACCAGATGCAGTTGGAGTATGCTATCGGTCTTATCCTGGAGCTCAGTAGCTTGTCCCCGCGTATGTTGCTTTTTTTTCGGTGATATTGACCAATCGGGTGCTTGATCTCGACAACGAAACGCCGAGCATCCGATGGGGTATCTGGACGAATTGAGAAAGTCTACGCTGGTGGGTTCTTGTCAAATCTATATGGTAAGAGTTTCCATATAAACGTCCCGAGGGGGGCTATTGTGCATGTATTTATCTCAATGGGGACGAGTCACGCACAACGGCGAAAAAAAGAAGTCGAGGCCGTCATGTTGCTACTGTCGATCATCCCAGGGTTCCGGGCCTCTGCGATAAGCTAATTTGAGTCTTGGCATCTTTTTTTAGCTGCGTGTATGAGCATGGATGTATGATGTCTTGACTATATCATGGTTGGCTTCACAATTTATAGCACGTGTTTAATGATGGATTCGTTGTTTAATTGGTAACGCATTGGTTTAAATTCATCATAAGGTCTTGTTTAGACCGGGACATCCGGTGGATATATCCAGACGATCCTAGTAAATATGCAATATTAAGTTACACTTGCATTTATGTAAACGGGAAATAGAACAGACGAGCCCTAATAAGCTCAACATCGGCGACCTTAACTTATTACCAAGGTCCTTTGGCTATTAATGCACTATTTCCCCCAAACAACCAATCAACTGGGCTTGTGGTTTAGTGGTATAATACTCCCTTAGCATGGGAGTGGTCCGGGGTTCGATTCCCCGCGAGTCCAGATCTTTTTGTCGCCTTGACAATGAGGTCAATTGTGAGTGCAATAACTAACTAGACCATGTCGTTGGTTATATATTTTTTTGTTTTGGGCGCGTCATGGCTTGACGTCACGCTGAGCATATCATTTTTTCCGTGGTTGGGTTTTGTAGGTAAAATGTAGGTTGAAACCTACGTAAAGACTATATATATCTTTGACCCGAAATGGCAAGAAGACAACGCTGGAATCCAACTTCACCCCAACAGCGGGATAGTCATAGACAATTGATGCCGTTACATAGTGAATCCCTCATACATAGTAATATGTACACACCACATATGAGTACCTACAACATAGTCAACGAAGATCAAGAGCGCACCACGCGCCGATCCCGATCCACCCAATCCTGCAAAGTTCGAACTAGCGCAGGACTGTGCTTTCAGCGCACGGTCAAACCCTGGGTCGAGGGTGATCATTGCTTGGAAAACGTGTATGTAGATCTACACCGAGTATCTATATACTACAGCTTTTGACATTATTGGGTTAGTTATACATTGCCCACCCGTGAAACAAGTAATCATTAGAATCATGATAATGTCAAATAGATGTACAAGCAATATCGTTATTTGTGTGAAGTACCCCTTCTAGCACAATAAAATCATCTAGGCTAAAGTGACATAGAATTTTGATACAAAAAAGAAAAGAAAAAAAGAAGGAAGGCGATGTACTAAAACAGCAGTTAACGCAGCTGCCGACCATCGAACGTCTCGCTCCGTCCTGACGCAGAGGAGGAGGCAGCACTCGTCGGAGAAGCATAAACCATGCCGCTCTTCATCTCAATGCTATCCGCAGGGGTGACGGCGCGGCCTGTGATATCATAACCGTGGCCCATCTTCTCGTGGCTCGGGAGTCGGGACTCAACCCAGCTCTCCATCTCGACGGTGCGGATGATTTCGAATCGGTCGCTGCTGTAACTGGGTTGGTGGTCGGAGACGAGACGGGATGCTCGGGAGCGGGCGGTTGAGTACCAGTGTCTGTGGGTGCGAGACCGCTGGTTGTAGGAGGTGGTGTTGTGGTTGGAGCTGAGGAGGCGGGGGAGGAAGGCTGCAATGAGGGGGCGGAGTGCTGGGGCTGAAGAGCAGATCTGGTGATTATTAGCGTTGAGTATGAGTGTGGGCAGACTGTTGGCCTTACCAATCCTAGGCTGATTTCCACTGCCGCAGCGATCAGCACTGGCCATCCAAGCCAGGTCGCATCATAGCCAGTCACCATACTCTTCCACACGTATACGGTTCGCACGGAGCCGGCCACGTTAACTATGGAACCGAGGGCGAAGATGGAGATAACGGCGAGGCGTTGACGAGCAGGGAGTTTCAGACTCCAGATCAACGGCATTGGTAAAGCCGTGACCAGGAAATCGGTGAAGATGTTAATAACACTGGCGGAGAAAACAATCGCGCCGTCATTCATGCAGTGGTATGACTCGGTAGGGTTAAGTTGCCAGTATGCGCGGATAGGTCTGTATGAAACATCAGCAACGATTCTCGAGCACCACGACAGCAGACGACGCACGAGCATTGGAAGATACTGATAAGAGTGAAGAGCAAACTCGCCACGCCAACAAAAACAATGGCGAAAATAAACGCCAAGTTATACAGCGCAAAGTGGCCCTTCCCGATGAGTCGTCGACAGAACCACAATAGAGAGATCTTGGTAAAGGACGAAGACATCGAGAACATGATCTGGAAGGAGAGATTCAGTTTCTGGATAGCTTCGAGCTCCAGCAATTTAATATCCCAGATATGGCGGTTCATGTCCCAATGTTCCGTGGCGATGGAAGTGACGATGGCCATGGCGATGCCGAAGACCAGACCGATGACGATGAGCGCATCATCGATGCCGGCGCTGCATGTGATCCATACCCTAGTGTATAGACGGAGGGAGACGACCAGGGAGGCCAGGGTGAGACAGACGACGTTCACGATGAGGACGCCGTGGCCGCGAGTGGGCGGGTCGATATAGTTTGGGGTGGGCCATGAGTCCAGGATGGCAGCTGGAGGGAGCTTCATAATCGTATCGGTGCAAGGAAGACGAAGAATAAAAGATCGGGGCAACAAACCGTAGCAGAAGATAGATAGGTAACGAACGTGTCTAGGCAGATGCCATTGCCATAACCCAAGCCCGCGATGGATGGGAAAGTCGATCAAAAAGAAAGAGAGTCAGAGCAGACTGAGGGTACAAGTGAGCCAGCTCCGGGTAAATTGCGTCTGTCGAGGAAAAATAAAGAAAAGGTATACCCCACCGGGGAGGACATGGACATGGGGTACTAGACCGTAGATATATAATACAGGGCTGGGCCAGACCTTTCGTCCAATACAGAGGTATACACCAAGCGACCAGAGACACACCCACGAGGCATAGAGTTTACCCCAAGAACACACCATCTCAAAAAGGCGTCAGTGCTGAAGCATCAGGGCAATGTTGTACATCTCCGTCGCCAAAAAGCCGTTCCACGCCATGTCCAAAATGGCAAAACGGCCGAAGGTTGAGTGGAATGGACAATGATAGGCAGATCCAATGTCCCCATAGTTCCATCGTCGGCCCCACCGAGCCTTTGGATCTGGATCTGAGGCTTGTGAGAGGTTCAGATGGTGAGGTGGGATCGCGTGTGGGAGAGAGACCCCTGGCTCGCTTCACGGAAGACCACGGACTCCCATTGTTTTACACGTGCCAGATATATTACGTTAGAGATGCATTGTTAGAGTGGAGACAACCTTGGAAGCGTGACCCCGCATCATAAGATGAACTGATGAACCTTACGATGGTGAAGTAATTACATCTATTCTATGGTTATTTACTACCCTCGTATTCTACTGAATATTCTTTGGTTATGATCTATTCAATTAAGCAGATTATAACGAATCTCCTACCTCATATAACAAGTTACATACAACCCATCGGCTCCGGAGCAGGGACCACCACGCATCGGCCTCCGTAGGGGCAACGTTGCAGATTTAACACTTTGATACGAGCCAATGCATTTAACTTTCCACCGACTGCACTGTGATTTGACGTGAGAGCCAGAATATATTATTTAAGCGAAGTCGACAGCCTTGGGCTGAGACAACGCCTTTGCCCGCTATTTTCTGCACGCTTTACCTTCTATTATTTACAGGAAAAACAATCAAAGACTCTTACATATCATTCCTACTATATGGGTATCATTCAAACAAAAAGAGAAAAGACCAAAAAATACAAACAAAGACAAAACCTCACGATCCCATAGACGCAAGTCGAAGTTTCAATTGATTCTCGACCAATCTCTGTTCTTCAAGCGTCAATCTGTCCTCGGGGTCGATTTCATCGACACAAAGTTTGATCTTGAGGATGGACTCGGCGCATTCAGCCTTCACTCTCCCCATCATCTCGGGATCGGTCGCGAACGCAGTTTCATCAATCCCGCCTTTGTGGAGACTCTCTTCCCAGGGAACCAGATACCGCTCTAAGGCCTTCGAGCCCATACGAGCAACGTGCTCATCATCGAGAAGCCGGCCGGCAAGCTGACTCTTGAAAATCGTCTTGTTGTAGATCTTCTCCTCAACGGTGCCACCAGCCACCATTCGGTACACAAAGACTTTCTTTTTCTGACCAATGCGGTAGGCGCGTCCGATTGCCTGCTGTTCCCAGGTAGGGTTGAACTGGAAATCGAAAATGACAACGCGGTTCGCGGCCTGGATGTTCAAGCCAACGCCACCGGATTTGGTGGAGATGAGAAAGACGTAGGTTGAGGGATCGTTGTTGAAGCTCCGAACTACCTCGCCACGCTTCGCTGGAGATATATTGCCGTGGAGGAGAGAATACTTGATCTGTGCTCCGTCCATTATCTCCCCCAGATACTTCAGCGTTGGGATACTGGAAGAAAAGACTAGGATCTTGTCCCCGACGGAGATTGCCTGCTTGACTATCTCATTGAGGATCATCACCCGGCTGGATAGGCTCGGTTCTAGCAAGTTAGGAGCCTCCTTGAACACATCATCCAGTTCAGATAACATTGACCTGGGAATGATTTGCTCTTCGACAGGAATGGTAGATGCGAGATTAGATGCGAGGTTAGGTCCCGGATTAGGTGCGAGATTAGACCCGAGATTATTACCCGGGTCATCACCGCTAGGACTTTTCTGTTTACCGGATACATATTTGGTCTTCCGGGATTCCAGTTCCGCCTTGAAAAGGGCCGGGTGATTACAACAAAGCTTGAGAAGAGGCAGCCAAGACATAAGCTCCGAGCGGACACCCGCTTCATTCCTCAGTGCTACACCTTTGATAAAGATGTTGTACACAGCTTTTTGAATGCTGGTCGGCTCGAAGTAAACAGAGAACTCGAACTTTGGCGGCAGGTCGTTTATCAGTGAGGACATGTCCGCTCGCTGTACCTTGGGGTTGATGATGCGAAGGAACAGCTCCTGGCGCTGGAGTGCCTCTCTTCGATCAAACTTGCTACTTTCAATCTGCGAGCCATTTTCGATGGGCTTGATGAATTGATCATTGAAATCAGCAAAGTCTCCCAGGTACTGAGGGGCAACCCAATCAACCATCCAATAGTAATCTTCCAAACCGTTGGATATCGGAGTGCCAGTGAGCGCAATCCGCTTCCGAGTGCGCAGACGGGAGGTTGCCTCGGCAAGCTGGCTTTCATGGTTGCGTAAATTCTGAGCTTCGTCGACCACAACGAGAGTTGGGCTGTTCAACACCCAGTTTTTGACATTTTTGTTGACCGATGGTTGTCCCTGCTCCTCGTTCTTTTCTGCATTGTCCTCCTTCACGAGAATGCGGAAGATGTTATAGCTGAGAATCAGTATACCACCCTCCTCATTCCACGCGCGAATCTCTTCGTTCCGGTCAAGGAGCTGGTTTTTTGTCGGAATGGCTCGAACCTTGCCAAGATGGTGGTTCTCGGGGGACCACATTGCAAACTCATCGCACCAATTTTGGATTAGCGATGCTGGGCACAGTAGCAGGGTTTTGGATTGTCGCAATTCTTTAGGGATTTGGTCACGAATGGCCGGGAATTGTGATGCCCCGGCAGCGGAAATTGTAACAAGAAGGGATATACTAGGCAAAAAGGGTTAACTGGGTCCCAATGAATGGGACAATATCGCATCGCAATCATCACTCACACTTGCATCGTCTTGCCTAACCCCATAGTGTGGGCTAGCAAACACCCTTCTTGTCTTTTGTTCTCAATAACCTCTCGGAACATAAACTGAATTCCAGAGAGCTGGTAGGATTTGACATATTGCGCGATATAGGGGTCTAGGCATATCATGGGAAGTCGGAACGAAACCGGCCTTGGAATATTTTCCTTAGGAGCATTCCCTTGGGCAAACCGAGACGCAAGCACTCTTTTAGCCTCGGCTTGTTTGTCTATCCGTTCTTGGCCTTCCTTCTGGGCCCGAGACAAAGTGATTTTGGGGTTGGCCAATTTCCGCTTGCCGTTGCGTCGAATGGATGGGTTCATTTCGTCGGGTTGGACATGAGAGGACAAATCCATCCACTTTCTGCATCTCCAGAGAAGATCGTTCAAACACCCAAAAAATTGCGCGAATTGGTCTTCATCGCTGTCCTCTCCGACCGCCATAAGCGTAGCCTTGATTTCTTTTACTGTAAAGGCGCCACAGGGGACTTGGATAACGTTGACCCACGACACGAACAAGGCGGCCATTAACATTGCAGAATGGCTCTCCTCGGCGTCCATTCCCTCGATCACCGATGAATCGTCAGACATGTGTTTTAGTGCATCTCGCATATGTTCTCGATATACACAGAGCATGTAAGACCTGAGATATTTAGAAAGTTGGTTGAACCGATTCTTCGGCAGACCTATGAGTGCTTTCGCTACAAGATGACGTCGGTTTCCACTTTCCTCGATAGCTGCCCACAGCATAGGCGAGACATCGTCAAAAATACTCACAGCGTCGTCAGTTTCACTGCCGTTGTCACTGCCGTTGTCACTCGTCAAGTCCACGAACCTAGTGTTGAGGCGCTTCGGGATGATAGGAAAAGTTTGTGCATCTACCTGACCCTCTGCTTTACCCTCATTCGAGGGCAAAGTTGTCATCGGTATCAGTGGTGAAGCTGGACTATATCTGTGGACGCTATCTGTCTTCAGGCGGCGCCTCTTGGCGACCGGGGGCTCGTAATTCTCTTCTTTGTAGAAAAGATGGCTGAGGTCCTCGTCTGAAGAGGAGTCACGGAACGGTCCATCTCGATAAGCTGTGCGAGAACGTGGCTCTTCGTGATCCGGTGCAGCCTCGTTCTGTTCGAGATCGGAAACAAGGGCGTCTTCCGATTGCTCTGATCCGCCTTCCGATTCTGATCCATCTTCCGATTGTTCTGATGATTCATCTTCCATCTCATCTCCAGTGTCGTGCACGAAATCCGACTCTGAACTGAGAGTCTCTTCCCCGTCCAAATTCACATTGGGCTTTTCTGGCCGCGGGGTGCGTGGCGGACGAGCAAATTTTGGCGGCGGGCTAGTTTGCTCCAGAACGGATAGCTTCCATTGATCCAAGAAGATATCGATCACAGTGGGATCGAGGCATGCACATGCTTGAAGTAAGGACGAGCGGGATGAATGTTGCGCCTCTGCGAGTGCTTTGCGGAGGGCTTGGCAACGTTTCTCCAGGTGAGCGAGCCGTGTCGAGATTTGACTTTTCATGCTCGGGAGCCTTTGGCCCCTGGTCCAAATTTGAAATGCTTTCGGCAGCTCTTTCGGCAACCGAATGTCGATGAACTGGGTCTTCCGTGTATCAATGTATTCATCGACGATTTCATTAAACTCAGTATCTTCCAGGTTCCCAGAAGTATCCGGGGAGGATTGCCCCTCATCCTCTTCCATTTCCTCGCGAGTCTCTGTATCATATTCGGCCTCGGAGCTAGAATCTCCAAGAAGTGGGAGGATATCCGTATCGTTTGGGGGGTAAGTCTTAGCAAGATAATCAAGAAAGTCCTTGTGCCCAAAGCCGGAGTTCGGAGCAGGTTCATTGGGAGTGAGGGTATCCGGGAGAGAAGGTGTGGGTGGGCGTTCGATGACGGTGGTCTCCATCCGGCGAGGTTTCTTTTTCGCTGTTTGGGGTAGTGAGGGACGATCAAGGACAGGAGCGGAGCTGATGAGATTATCAGAGAGGGTAAGGTCGATGTGATCATTAATAAGGGGGGTGGTATTGACGGGATCATCGAGGCCTTTTGGAGAAAGTTGTCCATTGAGGAATGCTTTAGGAGGAGGCTGCGGTTGCTCCAACTGATAGAACTTTGGCGATCGTGCCTGTAGCCATTTACTGGCTCTCAGAATATACTGGCACTGCGAGATAATTCTTATGCCAAGGTCTCTCACCTGCCATTCTGTGATATAGAGCAAAGCTGAGCCGGTGACTAGATGTTCTCGGAGGGAATTCTCGAGAGCCATAAGATCTGGGCAAGCCAGATTATAAGACCAATCCCCGGCCCTTTCATGACAAAAGAATGTAACAACCTCATCAAGGGTCCAGTGGAAAGGGTCTTTGGTCAAAGTCATGTTTGCTTGGGGGGGGGGCCTGTACTGGATCAGCGGGCTGCGGTCCAGACGAACCAGTGCATTTGTCTCAATGACGCGACTTGACAAGGGTCAAGTTCGGAAAGATACATCACTTACCATTTTAAGGCCCCCAATGCAAATTAAAAGTGAAGTCAGTGCAAACCGAAGGATGTAAAAGCCGACAATGAAGCATTGAGCTAATGATATGTCAAAGCGAAGTGAACGAGGAGCTTCAAAAGAAAGAGAGCCGGGTATAGGATAGGGGAGAAGGGAAGAGAAGAAAGAAAACAAAGCGAAGGAATATCAATCAAAAGAAAACACGCCACCCTCTTCCTTCCCAATCTTTGTTATGCGCGAAGCTCTTTTTTTGTGCCAGTGTTTGAATAGGCGGTGAGACATTTTAGGCCAAAAGGGGCAATTATTCCGAAAAAGGAAGGCGGGAGACTCGGGCGGTCGAGTCTAGATTTCTGCCTCAGGTGTCGGCAAAATGCCCCGCCAATTACAAATCCCCAAGAACCTTGGGGGAGCCTCGGCGAGGTTGGAATCTTTGAACAATTTACGCAACTTGAGAAGGTCGTTGAGTGCCGGAGTAAATCAATTCCTATTCACTAGCAATATGGCAGAATCAATTTATTCAAACTATCCGCCAGATCTGTCTCCAGCTCAACAAAAGTTTCTTGTCACCTCTGTGAAAGACTGGGCTATTCAAAATGGTCTCGCTGTTCGACCATCCCCAGCAATTGTCCCAGCTGGCCTAGATCCAAATGGGGTGCTGGCTACAAATGCACCGGTGACATTGTTTCCCAGTCCATTTCCTCGGACTTGCTTCGAGGAAGCCACTGCTCTCCAAGAGATCTACAACAAACTTTATGCTACGATCACATGCAATGAAGAATGGCTGGGGAAGATTGTGGAAGAGTAAGGATATTTCTGCTCTAGTATGGTAGATGTTCATTATTGACCATTTTCAGGCTCATTGAAGTTGATGACTTTGTTTTGAACTTGTGGAAGGTTCATCAGGATGTGAAGAAGGAGGGATATGTTCAAGACCTGTCACTGGGCCTCTTCCGGTCCGACTACATGGCCCATGTTCTGCCTACAGGTGCCACGGCTCTAAAGCAGGTTGAATTTAACACGATCTCGTCATCGTTTGGAGGGCTTTCGGCTCTTGTGCGAAAAATGCACACCGAGCTTCTTTCCTCGCCGCCGGGTTCCTCAATCAACTATCCACCCCACCCTCTGCTACAATCCGAGGTTCCACCGGAAAACACCGCAGTGGAAACCCTCTCAGCAGGTTTGGCAGCAGCCCATGAGGCCTACGGGATGTCCAAGTCCACCCCGGCCCTACCTCTTTGTGTTCTCTTTATAGTCCAGGAATCAGAGCGGAACGTTTTTGATCAGCATGCACTCTCGACACAGCTCAAGAAAGTTCACAACATCCCAGTCTTTCGTGTGGCCAGCGTCGATATCTTGGATCAGACATCCATTCCCAGCTCCAACTCCGCACGACCATTGTTATACCAGCCTCCTCACTCACCCGACTCAACCTTCGAGGTAACAACTGTTTATCTTCGAGCTTACTATGCACCAGACGAGTACAAATCCAACCGTGACTGGCTGGCCCGAACTCATCTGGAGCGCTCGGCGGCGATCAAGTGCCCTTCCGTGCTCAATCAGCTGTCTGGCTGCAAGAAAGTCCAGCAGGTCTTAGCAGAGCCGAAAGGGCCAGATCATCTCGCAAGCTTCTTGAAGGGGGTTGAGACTACGCTTATTGAAAGAGTTCGGGATACCTTTGCTCCGCAATATGACCTGTCGGTTGACAGTCAAGGCCGCGATCTAGCCCTCAACCCAGATACAGCCATGAACCATGTGCTCAAACCACAGCGTGAAGGAGGTGGCAACAATATTTACAAATCTGATATTCCAACCTTTTTGCGATCTATTCCGGAATCTGATTGGAGAGGCTGGGTGCTTATGGAACTCATCAACCCTGCAGCCAATGCTCAGAATGTTGCCCTACGGAATGATGGCGAGGTCCTTCGGGGACATGTCATCTCTGAGCTTGGTATTTATGGTACCATTCTTTGGGAAAGTACTGGGAAGATCTTGCACAATCAACAAGGCGGGTATCTGTTGAGGACCAAAGGGAAAGAGGTGAATGAAGGTGGCGTAGCCGCAGGATTCTCCAGCTTGGACAGTGCTATTTTGTTCTAGATAACTTAGACTAGATCTGACATTTGCAATATCAACAGTTCATTCATACTTCAGCTTTCTGGCATTTCGTGTAAGATAATATCTACGACAGCATGAGTCTCATAACGTCATTCTGGAGCAGATGCACAGCTTCTAAATCGCGTAGAAGAGAGAAAAAGTATATATGGAGGGCTAAATGCCGAGACAACTCTATGCAAAGATGGGTAAACCCACACAAAGCAATAGGAGAGATTCTTCTTTGGCCATATTTCCCTGCAGCAATCAATTCTACAATTTCGACCGATAGGCCTCAAGACCAGATGGTCCATCGTAGATCTGTTTCTCTACCAGTCGAGTGTTTATCTGGACAACATATTGGTTAGTTCACGTGTAGATCAAGACCCCAAACTGAGAAGCCGGGGAACGTACGTGCTGTTTCCCGAGTTCATTAACATTCTGTACGCCGAGAAGTCGCATACATGTCTTGGTCTCCTCAGTCAAGACTAAGATCTGTCAGTAAATTACTACGGAAAACCTCGAGTTTTGCTCATCATACTTTCCAGTGTCCTTCTGACGCCATCCGGCCCCCCGGCCGCCAACCCCCAGAGTGGAGCTCTTCCTAGTCCAACACCATGAGCACCCAAACAAAGAGCCTTGACCACATCAGTTCCCCTTCTGATCCCGCCATCGACCCACACCTCAATCTTGTCGAAGACCTCGGGACAGTATTTCCGGATTTCGAGCAGGGTGTGGACAGCAGGAGGAGCCGTGTCAAGCGACCGACCGCCGTGGTTTGAAAGGATGATTCCTTTGACCTGGGGCGTATGTTGCGTGGCAATATACGCGTCTTCGTGTGTCTGAATGCCCTTGAGAACAACCGGAAGATCAGTGTGCTTTGCCAACCAGCCGAGGGTCTCTCTCCATGTAAGAGAAGGATCCATTCCCTTGAAGACTGGGTCTCCAGACTGGGTGGGTGGCGCGCCCTCATTGTTGTCACCCTGGAATGGAGCCTCGGAAGCGATGACGTTTCCGCTGCGTTCGTCGTCCTCTCTTTTCCCGGTCACGGGGGAATCCAGTGTCAGGGTCACGAATTTGATTGCACTCAACTTGTTGATTCGAGCCAGCATACGTTCGCTCTTGGTTCGGTCGTTCTGCACATATAGTTGCCAGCCAAAGACTTGGCCCAAGGCGGCGCCTGCGACGATCTGCTCGGGCGTCATCGACGCGCTGTTGGAAATGATCTGCATTGCACCGAAGCTGCGACATGCTTCTGCGATTCCTGCTTCACCAGTGGGGTGCCCTAGGCGGGCCATAGCCGCTGGGGAAACATAAATTGGGAGAGACACGGGATTTCCTAGCAATTTTGTCTTTAAGTCGCATTGTGTACAGTCGATGAAGACCTTTGGCCGCAATTGGATGGAGCGGTAGACTTCGTTGTTTTTGCGCTTGCTGATCTTGTCGTCGGATGCCGAGTAATAATAGGCCCATGCCTTTTTATTCACTATTTTCGTGGCGGCATCTTCGATCTCATCCAGATTGAGCAACGTTTCGAGCGCCTTTCGTTCCATTTTCCTTATGTTGTCTGATCCCACAAAGTAGGAAAAGGGAAAAGCCGAGGCGGGAAAAACAGGGGTGCATATGCGCCGGATACTTTTTCCTTTCTGGGATTAGTGCTGTCGCCAACGGAGAATTAATATACGAAGGAACGACATGCGAGTGATGGGAAGTACTATAAAGTACTATAAAGTAAGAAATATGGAACAATATACAATATAACCATGGGCTATAGGCCTTTTGAACAAGTAGAATCAATAAACCACCGATTTTAGCTCTAGGTACCCTTCTGGCCGAGACACCGGAACACTTGGCATTTGTTATGACGATGAATAGTACCCCTGTTTCAAATTTTAACTTTGTATTCTTTTTCGTTGATATAATTTTGTGTATTTTTCTATAGTATGCATTGTCTACTGTCTACGCCTGTCTACACGCTTGACGTACAATTAAGCGCTTGAATCCATACTCCATAATCTGCAGCACGAGCCCTAAGCCCACTCACGATCTGGACGATTCGCGACCAAATCCCCTCTTATTTGCTTAGACCAATAGAAACACAATAGAAAATTCTCCTGGAGGGCTAAAATTAAACATGCGGACGTGTCCGTCGACTCCACCATAGTCTAGATCCCCGTTGAAACGCTGCTGTCAAGCGAATAGGTTGCCCGTGTTTCACTTTAACTTCCCCTTCTTTTTTCTTCCTTTTCTTCGTGTTGAGGCTTCTAGAAGACCTTCTCTTCCCATATTCGACATTCGTTTATGTATTTCCTTTCTTCTAATATTTGTTGAGATCAGTACTGTCTTTCCTTGCTTCTAGTCAAATTCATTGAAATCAGAACTGGCCCAGTTCCGACTTCATCCACCTTCGTTTTTTTTTTTCTCCTTTTTTTCCCTTTCTTTCTGGTTTTCTTCATTTCGCCATGACCGAAGGCCACAGTGCCCCCGCAGCTGAGGCGCCGGCGCCAGCAGCAGCAGCAGTAGCAGCAGACTGTACTGCTGCACCAGTCGCCGCAGATATGCGCTCACACGCCCATCATCAAACGGCACCGATCCATGAGCAGGAGCAGGTCTCCTTTGGACCCTTGACTCATCGGCCAACATTCTTGGAACATCTGGCTACCTCGCGAGACATGCAGTTCAAGCTTGATCGACGGGATACAAGCGAGTTGGACCGGTACTTTGTAAGTCATGGCTGTGAGATGATCTATATAAAACACGAACAGAAGACTAGGAAGGATTCTAGACAGGCA